CCATATTATAAAGCAGCAGTCATCAAAATCATGTGGTATTGGTTAAAAATATATAGAGACAGATTAATGGAACAGATTAGACGAAGGAGAATAAGAAACAATGGAACTCAGTACTCAATAAAACTGAAAACATAAATTACACAGGAAAAAACTTATTTGATAAAAAACTGCTGTGAAAACTGGAAACATCTCTTTGCTATGGGTAGGAGATGTATTGAGAGACAGAGGATTACAAAAGATAAAATAGATAACTTTAATTACATGAAACTGAAAAGCTTTTGCACAAACAAAATTAATGCACCTAGGATAAGAGGGGAAGAAGTTGAATGGGGAAAAATTTTTTGATTCAAATTTCCCTGATAAGGGATTGGTATCTACAATATATAAATAATAAACAAACATATGCATATACACACACATGCATGCACGTACACACACAACTAATAGCCATTCCCCCAGTACATGTGGTCAAAGGATTTGAACAGTCTCCAAAAAAGAATTGAAAAGTATTCACAACCACAAGAAAAAAATGCTCCAAATCACTGAGAATTGCTTTTCTAAATAACCCTAAAGTTTCACCTCACTCCTCGCAAATTTGTGAGAAAATGAAAAAAAATGACACCAGTCAATGTTGGAGGAGGTAGGGAATATGAGTCATACGATGTTAGTGAAAGTACAAAATGACACATAATCATTTTGAAAAGCAATTAATTAGGTAAATAAAATGACTAAAATGTCCAAACTCTATGAGCCAGATATTACTGGGTTGACATCCCAAGGTAGTCATTGATAAGAAGAAAGTCCCCGTATATACAAAAAAATTTATAGCAGTATTTTTTGTCACAGCAAAGAATTGGAAACAAAGTAGATTCTCATCAATTAGGGAATGGCTAAATAAATTGTGGTACATAGATATAATGAAAGAGTACTATGTGCAACAAACGATGTATGTGATGAATTACAGAGAAGTATGGAAACATCTACATAAACTGATACATAGTGAAGCACATCCAAGGAAACAATGTATACAATGTAAATGTACAGCAAAGTAAATGGAAAGAACAATACACACAAAAAAAATCAAAAGTGAATGCAATAAAATTATAAAGATCAAGTATGACTTGAATGAGTCATAATACAAATGTGAGGACACTCTCAACCCACCCCGGGGAGGTCCCCAGGTGTTACACATTGCAATTTTCAGACTTTTTCAAAGTATTGATCAGCTGTGCTGATTTTTTAATTGTCTTTTAAAAATACCGTTTGTTACATGGGATGGTTCTTTGAGAGGCAATAGGAGAGGGATACTTGAGGATGGCTAAGATGATGTAAAAAAAAAAACCAAAAACAAACCAGAAGACATCAATAAAAACTTATTTTTAAAATGAAGATGAGAAAGGAATGGTCTCAGCAAGGAAGCCAACATCACTCAATTTACACTTACCTTTAGGGGAGTCAGATGTGAGAAGACTGGAACGGTAAGAGGAAGTCAGCTTACGGAGAGTTTTAAAAGCCAAACAGTGGATTTTATAATTGATACTAGAAGTATCAGATAGAAGTAGATCAGATCTGATAGTATAATAGAAAACCACTGAAGTTGATTGAAAAGTGTAGTTACTGGGTGTGGCAGTGACATGTAGACCTGCCGTTTGATATCTGAGTGACTCTTCTAGAATAGGGAGACTTGAGGCAGGGAGACCAAACAATGGGCTATTGCTGTTCAAGTGTGAGGTGATGAGGATCTGCACCAAGGTGATGGCATGTCAGATGAGAAAGAAGAGGAGACACATAGGAAAAATGTAACAAAAGTAGAATCAACAGGACTTATCAATAGATTAGATAGGGGTGAAAGGAGCAGCTGTGAAGTGTTAAGGATGACATTTAGGTTGCAAGTCTGGGTGACAGGAAGCATGGTGGAGTCCTGAACAGTAATAGAAGTTGAGAAATGGAGTTGGCATTAAGGAGAAAGCTAAGAGTTCAGTTTTAGACATGTTGACGTCTGTGGGATACCTGGTTCAAGATGTCCAAAAGGCAGTTGGAGATATGTGACAGGACATCAGGAGAGAAGGTAGGGCTGGATAGATAGATCTGAGAATCATCTGCATAAAGAAGATAATTGAATCTATGGGAGCTGGTGATATCCCCCAAGCAAAATAGTATGAAGGGAGAAGAGTTCCAAAGATAGAGACTTGCAGTATAACACACTTCCTCTTTCAGCTGTTTTTTTTTTTTTAGCTATTAAAATGTTTAAAGGTAGTACATAACTAATTCATAACCACATTATAGCTCTTTTACTAATGTACTTACATAATATTTTAACTTTTTTTTAAATTTAAGTCAAATACTTTATATTCAATTGCTTATAATCACATTTTTCTCTAGAAGTTGCTGCAGATTATTCACTTAAATCTGTTTCATCATGTTTTAAAAAGCCTCATTACATGATAATAAAATGTCTTGAACTATAGCTTAAGCACTAAATTATTTATTTATTAATTTATAATAATTCTCCCAACCTGCTGGCCATTAGTACTTGATTTGAAAGCTTCCCATAGGTGCTATGAGTCTAATATACGTTAATGCAATGTTACATTTTTGAGGAAAGTGTATTTGAGCCAGGTCATTTTGGAAATATGCAGAGATAAACAATGTGCTGGCTAAACAGAAGACGAAACAAAAACCAACTTTTTGTATAGGTGAGATCAATTTCGTGATTCTCTAATTGCCTCTTTTGGACGTGGCTGTTTTCACGTTTGCAATACTTTGACAGATATTCAAATAGTATATTTCACCATATGTTTTCTCCCATGTGAGGAGTTGCAACAATTTAGTAAGAATATAGTGCCATCTTTGTGTGGGTGCCCTGTGATACATTCTGTTTCAAGCCCATAATCATTTGCCAAAACAGTAAAATAATCAAATAATCCAGAATGATTCTACAAAACGTAAAAGCATTCTCAAAGTGCACATTGGAAATATGGTAATGTGACTATAGCAGGGGCTCTACAAATGGTCTTCCATAACACCATTCTTTTACTAAGTGTGCTGTTGAAAAGTCCAAACCAAGAGATTTTTTCTTCTTCATTTTGGTCCAAAATAAACATAAGTGAAAAGGAATTTTTTTTTTTAAATTATAGGAACATGGAAGGAGATAACATTTCTTAAGTTATGGACAGGAAAGCTTTTTTTTTTTTTTTAAACAACACAAGGGATTGATGGATAGGCTCACAGGAGATAAAATGGGCAATGGTAAATGCATAAAATTGAAACGATTTGCACCAACAAAATAAGTTAAAAATAGGAGGGAAATAGTTAACTAGGAAAAAAATCTTTGCAGCATACTTCTCTGATAAAGGTCTATTATCTAATGTATATAGGGGATTGATTCAAATATATATGAAAAATACATTCCCCAATAAAAAGTCAAAGCAAATGAAGAAATGCAAGGTGTAAATAACCATATAAAAAAAAGTTCCAAATCACTAAGGTGAAAATTAAAACAATTCTAAGGTTCCATCTCACATCCTTCAGATTGGCAAAGATGACAGAAAAGGTAAGCAACAGTTGTTGAAGGGAGCATGGAAGGGCAGAGACATTAATCACTGTTGGTGACGTTTTAAATTGGTCCAGTCATTCTGGAAAGCAATTTGAATCTACATCCCAAACACCATCAAACTATTCATACCCAATGACTTAGGCATACATTACCAAGATCATAGAGGGAATGGACATACACACACTGTGTATCAGACGATACGCACACACACATACACACTCATATATCTCACATACATATATATGTATATGTAGGGTGTTCCAAATATATATGTATGTATATGAGGTGTTCCAAAAATCTTAGTAAAGTTTAAAGGCATTTGAGTTTTGTTGCAGCAAAGAACTGCAAACCAAAGGTATATCCATTAATTGGGGAATGGCTGAACAAAATATGGCATATAAATGTTAACGGAATAGTACTGTGCCAAAAGAAATGATGAAGGGGACAGATTCAGAGAACCCTGGGAATATCTGCAAGAACTAACAAAAAGAGAAATTAAAAAACAAGGGAACAATTTAAGACTACAACACTAAAAGAAAACAATTCTCAAAGACTTAAGGACTCTGAAATAGTAAATAAAAAGGACTCCAAAAGACCAATGATTGATGGCTGGTGCCTCTCATCTCGGGGAAGAGGTGATGAACTCAAGGTGCACAAGACATACATCTTCAGATGTGGCAATGTGTCAGTTTGTTTTACTTGACTATGCTTACCTGTCACAAAGGAGGGCTTTTTCCTCCTCACAGGACAGGGAGAAAAAGATTGGGGGGAGGGGGTGAGGGGAGAGATTTATGACAGTGATGCAAATATCTATATATAGATATACATTATATTTATATGTATATAAATATATCTATCTCTATATAGATATATTTATATACAGATCTCTATATATCTATCTGCCTATTTATAAACAGATATATATATATATATAAATATCAATAAAACATTTTTAAATGCACAGAAAACAGAATGAAGTATAGAGGGATACACAAACAAGCAAAAATCTTTTGGAATTATGAAGTTGAATGTTAACAGACTTTAAAAAAAAAAAGCTGGAAACTAAAGCCTGTTCAGGAAAAAAAAAGTGGGTTCTCTAGGTAGCTTAGTAAAACTGTGTAACAAATACAGTGCTATAGTGCTTTCAGAAAAAGAAGATATATTTTACTTTGTTCAAGCTTTCTCAGAGTTAATAGAATGCCTCTCAAATGAAAACTATTTAATAAGTGAACAACAAAGAAAAAGGGGATAGTAAGTCTTAATAGAGATCTGTAAAATAAAACTACTAAATCTTGAAAGCATTGGTGTAAGGAAATTTATATAAAGCAATCAAGGTTACAAAAAGGCAAACTATTTATAATGAACGTTAACCAAAAATCCCTATATCATAACCATCATCACATCATTCCACTACTGCAGAAAACAATACTTCAAACACTGTGGAAACTTACAAATGAAAGATACTTAATTTTATTGCAGATAACATTTTCAGCAATGCACCCAAATATGAGATCCATCGAGTTTTTCCCCCCGCTGGCCATGCACCGATCACTGCAAAGGTCTAGGACAATCAAGACCTTTGGTATCACAAATAAAAAAGCACAATTAAACCAAGACAAGTTTCATAGCCCTAAAAAGATGGTCTACACAGAGCCACATGGACTTATTGATCTAATCTGATAGAGCAAATTCGTTTTAATACTAATTCTCTAATGAGAGGTTGCTGAAGCTCAGATGAGACTGATTATCACTAAAACCACAATTCACAGGGATTCTTTTTTTCCACAAGATGATTTAATATGACCATAGATCCAGAGCCGAAAGGGAGCTCAGAGGTCATCTAGTTCAGAAGAGTCAGACACACAAGAGCAGCCTGAACCAGATTTTAAAACATAATTGGGAGCTATTTAGCAAAATACGTAAAAATACAATAAAACACAGATAATGTTAACACGTGAGTTTCTAAGTTAGTATGTGGCCCATGGGGATCCTTATGTATGGCTGAGTGCCCTATCACCCGTTTTTACTTAAGTTTAAAGCCGCTGATCTAGTCCGACCCCCTTCATTATATAGATAAGGACACTGAGGCATGAGGAGGTTAAATTTCCAGTCATACTAGTAAGTATTAGTATTAGAAACAGGATTTGAAATCAGTTCCTCTGACTTTAAAACCAGTGTTCTTCCCACCTGTCCCACTGGGCCACTTGTTTTTGTAAAAAGAATTTTTTTTTTGCATCTTATTAAAAGTGATTTACACACTAGAATGTTACTAAAAAAAACTTCAGTTTGACTTAAAATAAACATAAGGGTACAGATGATAAAAAAATATTTAGTGAAAACAGTGAAATTTCTAAATTCCTATTACCTAGTCTGTTAGCGTTACCTTTCCCCAATCTAAATGTTAAACAGCTTTAGTTTTTCTACATGCTTTTGCAACTGCTGGTAAGATAAGTGAGGAGTTAGGGGACTCTGCATTTGTGCTGTGGTCACAATCTGAAAAGACCCTCAGTTTGGTTTGGCTCTGGAATAATCTTTTGAGAGAAACGATGGACATCTCATTGCTTGAGACATTTTTTTCTGAGTCAGATTCAATTAGACATGGTTCGGCCTGTCATTCAAATCCCCATAAGGGATTCTATATTGCATTTTTATGTGTTATTTCACAAAAAGTCCTGTAAGGCTGAATTTCCCATTCCTGTAGAAAGAAAGGTAACTAGTAAAGTAACTAGGACTAATCCTCTTCTTTCTTATGAGAAGCTGGGTGACTTAGATTCCTATCCCAGCTCTGTCTTGGTTTCCCACTTTCAAATATGAAGTGAATGAAACTTGTTTCCCTACAAAACTCAAAGGGTGAGAAGATTAATGAATTCATATTCACATGGTACTCTGAGACTCTCAGATGAGACTCTCTGTCTAGACATCAATATGCTATGATAGCTGTGTGAATCACTTCAGGAAAGGTATTGTTAGAACAAAATGTGAGGTCTTATATTTTCTCGCTGCTCTTGCAATAGGGGAATGAAGGGTTTCCAGGACTTAGGCTATATTGGTGATACCAAATTTGAAGAAGCTTGGGAAACTACATGTTAGGCTTCCAAAATTTTTCAATCTAAGAGGAAACTACTGAAGGAAAAACTGTCATACTATTAGCCTTTGCTCATGAAGAATTGTCATAAAATAACTTTATTTGGGGATTCCCTTGGCTAAGTGTATTAACATTTGCTTTTTGTCACTAAAAGTCGATATTTTTACTAAAACTAGATGTGTAATATTGATGGATTCATCCCATTTGTTTTTTTCTTGGTTAGAATAAGTCACCAAATTCTCAGTGTACTGCAAGATTGACTTCAAGAACCTGTTGGGGAAAAAAAAAAGAGGAAAAAGATTGGCAAAAACTACCATTTTTTTCTGATACTGGTTCATCTATCAATTATCCTAATTACTTAAACTGCTTTCTCTTCTTTCCCAGATTTTTCCCAGACTATCTTCCTTCTATATCAAAACCAAGACTAGAGTAGGCAGAATATGTATCATTCTCATCATACAACACCATATACAAATGGGCTCTTAAAAATGTCTCATGAATTTTTTAAGGTTTGGGCAATTAGAAAACAAGAGAAAAATGAACTGAAGTAGAATGATTCTAAGAGACATATACTCCCATTTTTCCTTGGAGACTTGAACTGTTTACCCTATACCAGCTCATAAAATGTAAGGCACAAAGTCATTAGGCTAAATGTTAGTTCTTTCGAAAAGAGATTTGTTTTTCCAGTCATTTTTAAACATATCAGTGCTTATTAAATAGACTTGATGACCTTCTCTGAGGAATAAACATGAAGAAATTAACATAAATTCAAAGTCAAAGTAAATAACCTAGAAGAAATGGGAATTTTCCTGAAAATAAATGTTATTAGAGATTGAAATAATTGTCAAAAAAGTTTAAACTTCTGCCAGGATAGTTTTACAGACTCTCATACATCTAGACACTAGTTAACCAAATATTAGCATTACAGAATCTTCAGCGGTCATCTAGTCCAGGGCTCCTTAAACTTTTTCCTTTTGCTATGCTGTGTGGTCTGAGGGCATGCACAGTGCAAAGCGCACATGCTTTGTGATCAGAACCAAGGCTGCAGCGAAGCTGCACGATGCAGCACAGACACGCACTGCCCTAAACACCTCGGATTCATTGCCCGTTTCATTCTGAATTAATTTTTGGTCGTTGCATACTCAGAAACCTTTTATTGTTGCCAAATTTTCTGTGACCCCATATGGGGTTGCAACTCACAGTTTAAGAAGTGCTGATCTAGTTCAACCACTCACTCCACCCAGCTATTTCCTGTACAAGATTCCTGACAGACTGTAGCACGCCTATGCCTGAACAATTCCAGTGACCAAAGGCACCTCACAAGATACAGTCTATTCTATTTCTGGATAGAAAATTCTTCTCTTCTATCTCTGATAGAAAATTAATTTCTCAAATTCAATCAAAATTTGCTTCAAACAAAGAAAAAAATTTGATCTCTCTTCTTTATCCTCAAGTATCCAAAGATAGTTACGATGCCTTCCCTGACCCCAAGTTTTTTTTTTTTTCCAGACTATTCTTAATACATTATGGTTTTCAGTCTCACTCCTGGTTCCCGTTTCCCTCGCTGCCCTACTTAAACTTTTCTGGATGTGGTCCAGTTCATCAAAGTCTATCTTAAAACATGGTGCCCAGAAGAGAACATGAATACACCAAGACATAGTTTGATCAATGCAAAATACAGTGAAACTACCATCTACTTTGATCTAGGACAGAGGTGTCAAACACATGGTCTGTAGGTCTCATGCAGCCTATAACATTCCTAAGGGCAGCCTGAACTTGGTTAAAATGCAACTGGGAAATATTTAACTAAATCTGTAAAATTATACTAAAAAATAGATAACATTACATTGCAAAAGTAAGTCAATATCTGACCCAAAGAAATCTGTATGAATGTAGAGGCCCCATTTCTGTCTGAGTCTGACACTGCTTCACTAGGACACTATACCTCTACTAATAAAATCAAGTGTTATGCTAAGGATTTTGCTAGTGTCATTCTGTGGATTTACTGTGAGCTTACAATCCACTACATTCACAGGACCTAGATTGAGAGCAGGAAGAGACCTCAAGTGTCATCTATATCAACCTTCTCATTTTACAGATGAGGAAACTGAGGCTCAGAGAACAGAGAGATGAAATGACTTGCCCAATTCAAACCAACATCCTCTGACTCTAAATCCAGTGTTCTTTCTACTGTACCAAGGTACTCATACATCTAATTTTTGAGTTGCCAGAGCAAATGTACAGTTTCTGAGGAGACCGTTATGACTACTAGGTGTAGCCTCGAGGACTCCTCAAAGAACTAATATGACCCCTGTGTCCCTTGAGCTTTCAGGTCTTAGGATATAGGCAAGGAGGCTACAAGGGTTATGATATGTCTTTAGACCTTAATACTATAGGAGGCTTTAGATACTCTATAATTAAATTCTCTTATACCTGAAAAATTCAGTTCTGCCCAATAGATTTCATTCTAAGTCATTGAGATATGATAAGAATTTATCAGATAAGAAAAACTGAATCTTCCTTAGCAACCACTGAGGCTGTTGGCTACATGAATGTATAAATTAATTGAGAACACAACTGCTAAGCACTGAACTGTGTGCAATGCACTACACATGCTAAGTGCTGGGGATACAAACAGAAAATCCAATCCACCTGCACATCACCCTCTCTATCACTGGTCCTCTTCGAGAACAAAGGATGGACAACAGCAGCAAAACACCACACAGGGTGGGATCACTGAAGGGCTCACGGACAGACCCATGGTCTCATGGTATATCAGCAAGGGAGAAGAAAGGCCTGGCAGGTTAGATGGCAAGTAGTCTAGTTTGGCTAGGATGCAAGGGGGAATAAGGCTGATGTATAAACACATCTTCTTTAGTGTTATTTTGATTGATAAAACAGGATCTGTTTCTGGAAGACGGCAGTAGGAACCAAGATGAGATCAGGGTCAGTGGTGTGGTTACTACTACTCCAAGGGTTCTTAAAAAAAAGGCATAATAGGGGCAGCTAGGTAGCACAGTGGATAGAGCACTGGCCCTGGATTCAGGAGGACCTGAGTTCAAATCCGGCCTCAGATAACATAACATTTACTAGCTGTGTGACCCTGGGCAAGTCACTTAACCCCACTGCCTAACAAAAAAGGGGGGGGGGGAAATGGGCTGTCTCCCTGGGGGTCTGAATAGAAGTGATGACCAACTCTACTGGCTTTCCTGCCTGCTGGTGGTAGTTTGTCAATGGTTGATTTGGGGAGTGGCTGTGATGGTGGGGTCACATTACCATACGGAGCATTCCCCTTGATGATGGTAGTGGGGCTAGACTAGAAGCATGGCCCATGGTGACACTGCTATTATCAGGGTTCTTAGAAATGAGGTCCTAGGTTGCTTTCGTTGGGTAGGTGGTAATGGTGGTGGTTTAGCCTGTTTCATTCATACCAACTCCTCTCTCTCTCTTTCTCTCACTAGAGCACCTGCTGAAATATTTCTGCTCAGATGGCTTGCAGAATATATCTCTCTGATATATCTAGAGGCAGCAAGATGGACTAAGTGGTTTTTGATGGGATTGTTCTCTTAGAAATATTCATTTTATCTGCACCAGTAATAGCAATCTTATATTCTCAAGTAAAAGAGAAATCTTGAAAATCTTGAAAAGATTTCTATATCTATGCCACCTTAGGGAAGCTGTATGGTACACCGAAAAGACTACATGCTCTGGAGACTGAAAAACTGGATTCAAATCCTACCTCTGATACTGTTACAAAGACCCTGGGCAAGTCACTTACCTATTTAGTCCTCAATTTCTTCATCTGTAAATAAGAGGGTTACAATGGATGGCTTCTGTGGTTCCAGCACTAGCTGTACAAACCTATGCAAATGTCTAGAGGAAAATGCTTAATAAATACATTTAAAAAAAAAAAAGATACTGTCAAAGAGAATGGACAAGTAAGAACAATAGAGAATGAGTCCATTTAGTTCATTTAAAAATATTACATACTTACTTTAAGTACTGCTGGTATTCACAAGCATTTTTTTCATTAACACTATGAATGTTGACCAATTCCAGTGTGATCAGCAATAATATTAGTTGGAGTACAGGAGACAAAAGCTTAATACTAAAAATAAAATAGAGTTTAATTTAGTAAAATGTTTCCTTCATGCCAAAAATGACTTTTCTATTAAAAAAAAAACCCTTTGTTTACCTCTGCTATTCTATCTAACTATAATCACACTTCCCTCTTTTCTTTCACCACTAAAACCTGGTAAACAAGGGGACTCCACATACAGCCTTAATTTCCTCAACACACATTCCTAGGATCCAATTCAACAAACATATATTGAATGCCTACTATACAGATGGCATCAAGCTAGGAAGTAGGCTAAGGATACAAAGATAGAACTAAAAGTGTGTCTGTTCTTTAGGAACTGACATTTCACTGAGACAGTGTGGACGCAACATGAATATAAAGAAATAAATAGATGCAGAATGAGATATACATTCTTGGGCATGGCTGATGGAAGAATTTGCTTTATTTGACTGTCCATATTTGTTACTAGGATTTTTTTCTTTGCTTTTTTTTTTCCCCAGTGAAAGTGGAGAGATTGGAGGGAGAAAAACGAAATGCTTGTTAACTGAGAAAGGTAAAATAAAATAAAAGTTATATTAAAAAGAAATAAATGTAAGGAAATCTTAAGGAGGTGACATTTAAAACTGAGAGAAATTAAGTAAGCCTTCATTGAGGAGATGGTATCTGAGCTGAGCACTGAAAGAAGATAACATTCTGAGAAATGACTATGAGGAAGAAATACACTTCAAACATTCCCCGTGACCTGCAGAAATACATGGAAGTAGGAGATGAAATGTGTAATTCAAGGGATAAATAAAAGCCCAGTTTAGCTACACATAACTTATATCAAGTACATGAAAGAGAGTAATAGGAAATAAGAGCTGGCTGCTTTAGAGCCAGGAGACTAGAAGAAAAGGTACAGAGATGCCCATATACTCCACCTACCGAAAGTTTTTGAGCAAAGAAGTACCCTGGGCCTTCTAGGAATACTATTTTGGCAGATATGCAGAAAATGGAGTGGAGAAGGGAAATCTAGAAGCAGAAACATCAACGGAAGGCCATGAAAATAATTGAGGTGAGAGGCATGTGGTGATGGCCACCCGAAGGGGAGGGGCAAAGGACAGAGAGGAGCGCGGTTATACATCTACTATAAAGCATCACATTTGGGGCTAGGAATATAAACAAAAAAATTAAAAAGTAGCTTGGTTGGTTGCTGCCCTTTGTTCTCAAAGAGGACCAAAATGGCATCACTCTGTGGGGGCCAAGATACAGTTTGTCTGACTATGGTTGATCAGACCAATAGGAGTTTGGAAGGCTTTACCACAGGTCAGGCACAAAGAGTCCATTTGTACATCTGGAGCAGAGATATCTCTGGGCAACCCAGGTTTCTTTTGGGCTACTGCAATTCTGCTTTGCTCACAGAGCACAACACTTTCTTTGATGCTGACACGCCATGCTGATGGTCCTGTGCTCCTTCTCCCATGTCTCACAATTGATTCCAAAGCTCTTCAGAGAGACCTTGAGAATGTCCTTGTATCACTTCTTCTGACCTGCATGTGTGCATCTGCCTTGTGTGAGCTCTCCATAAAATAGTCTTTTAAGCAACTATTTGGCATTCAAACAATGTGGCCAGCTCATTGGAGTTGTACTCTCTGCAGCAGAGTCTAAATGCTTGGTAGTTCAACTCAAGAAAGGACCTCAGTGTCTGCTACCTTATCTTGCCAGGTGATCTTCAGAATCTTCCTAACACAATTTAAAAGGAAGTGATTCAGTTTCCTGGCATGGCGCTTGTATACTATCCAGGCTTCACAGGCATAAAACAATGAGATCAGCACAACAGCTTTGCAGATCTTCAGTTTGGTAAACAACATAATACCTCTTCTTCTCTCCCATACTTTCCTTTGGAGACTCCTGGACACTGAGCTAGCTCTGGCAATGTGCGAATCAACTTCATCATCTATGTGCACATCCCTGGAAAGGACACTACCAAGACAAGTGAACTTATCCACAGCATTCAAAACTTCTTCATTCTCCTAACCGATGGTGTGGTGCTGGCTGGTGGAGAACCTGTATTTTCTTAGCGTTTTCTTAACTGTTAGGCCAAAATTAGCACAAGTGGCAGAGGTCCATACTTTGTGGCATCTCAACCTCAGAGGCTACATTGAGTGCACAATCATCTGTGAACAAAAAGTCCACACCAGCTCTCTCTCCATTTGAGTCTTAGTTGGTAGCCCTTTCAAGTTAAATAATTAACTGACAGTGTGGTAGCTGACCTTGATGCCATTTTTGATCTCACAGAAGGCATTTGACAACATGGCTGAAAACATTATGTTAAAAAGCATGGGAGCAAGCACAAGGCCTGTTTCACTCCACCGGTGAGTGGGAAAGCACAGGAGCACTGTCCATTACCCAGAACCTGTGCAAGCATGCTGTCATGATACTGATGAACTTCTCTGGGCAATCACATTTTGCCATAATCTTAGAGCTTACGTACAAATATACACACAGTATGTAACTGAATCAGGAAATAAAAGATTATTTGGAGGAAAAAAGAGTGCCAAAAACACTGGTGACCACCCTCCTGCATGCACACTATCTCCCCTGGGCTTTCATGACAGCTCTCTTCTGATTCTCCTCTCAGTCTAACCTTCCCTTCTCTGTCACCATTGCGGGTTTATTGTCCAGATCCACACCCCTCCCTGTAAAGTGTTCCTGAAGGTTCTGTCTTGGTCCCTACTCTTCTTACTCTACTCTCTCTCTCAGCAGCCCCTCCAAGGCATCTCATTATTACATTCCCAGATCTCTTCCCTGAGTTCAGGTACATATCAATAATTGCCTAGTGGAAATTTCAAACTGAATATTCCCAAAACATCTGAAGCCCAACACATCTAAAACAGAAACCATTATATTTTCCCCCAAATCCTCCTCTCTTCCAAACTTCCTTGTATCTGTTGAAGGTACCACCATTTTTTCCAGTCTCCCAGGTTTATAACCTGGGCATTATACTTGACTCTTGACTCTCCCTCACCCCACATAGCAGAAAATTGCCAAATCTCACCATTTCTACCTCTATAGCTCTCACATCCAAACCCTTCTCTCTACTCACACAGCCATCACCTAAGTCCATTTCTCACCTGTATTATTGTGACAGCTTTGCAATTGGCCTCCCTGCCTCAAGCCTTTCCTTACTTCAGTCTACCCTCCACAGAGCTGTCAAAAGGATTTTTTTTTTCTTTAAGGCAACTGGGGTTAAGTGACTTGCCCAGGGTCACACAGCTAGTAAGTGTCGAGTGTTTGGTCTGAGACCGGATTTGAATTCAGGTCCTCCTGACTTCAGGGCCAGTCCTCTATCCACTGCACCACCTAGCTGCCCCCAAAAGGATCTTTCTTAAGTACAGATCTGACCATGTCACTCCTCTACTACAGACTCCTATGACCTCCTATCTCCTCTACAATTAAATACCAACTCTTCTGTTTAGCTTTCAAAGCCCTTCATAAGCTGGCCTGAGCCTCATTGTACATTACTCTCTGCCCTTCATGCGGGAATCTTGGCTTTCCCTTTGCTGCTCTCACATGACACTCCACCTGCCATCTCTGTGTCTTTATGAAGACTGTCACTCATGCAGGGAATGCACTCTCTCTGGACCTTCTCAAAATGTCCCTTCCTTCCTTCCTTCCTTCCTTCAGGATTCGGTTAAAGTACCATCCTCTCCATGAAGCCTTTGCTTTGGGGCAAGTTGTTAACGTGTAACAATCTCTTAGTAGCCGTCATACACTCAGGTAAATTACCACTTTCTGTTACTTTGTAAAGGGAAGCTACTCAGAAGGCCACAATTCTCTGCAGCTCTCTTTGGGCCTGACAGGCTACTTCGTCAATATAAGAAACTCCTGGTGAGGAAACTCCCTCCACCAATGCAAATCAGCAACTCCTAGTCTCAGAGAATATTCTGAAGCTCAGAGGTTCAATGGTGACACAGCCAGTATGCATGTGAGGCAAGACTTGAACCCAGATCTTCCTGACTTCGGAACAGAGGTCTAGCCACCTCGCCATGCTGCTTCTGGCTGCTGCTAGTAGATATTAGACTCATTTCAGTGGGTGGATTTCACATTACTACCTACGAAAAATTTGAAATTTCTTAAAAGTAAAAAACTTCAACTTCAACTTTCTCTGAATAAAGAAATTAAAACTACGCCTAAAGTTAATATATTACAATTGTGCTCCCATCCAAAATAAAAAATATACGTATCATATTTTATAAACCTGTTTAACATGCGTAGATAGTTCTGCCTCTGGCGAGATCGAAGTGTCTTTTGCATCCACTGCTTAAATCTTATTTCTGTAGTGGCAATAATTTGATCAGACACTAGGTGGCAATGCACACTTATTTTCTGAAGAATAACAAGGACTTCAAGGACAGGCCGTGGACAATATAAAGTTCGGATGCGTTTGCTGCACAGCTCATGAAGCAAAAGGGACCACCTAGAAATCATAAATAAAACTTTAATCATCACATGCTTTAAAATGAACTCGCAAGGGATTCACTTTCCCAAAACATGACTAACTTTTGTCAAAACCCCACCCGGCAAGATCCACCCAGCAATCTTCTTGACTCATTGAATTTATAACAACAAATACCTATCTAGATATTTCTAGAACTAGAAAACTATTCCTCAGCTACAAAAAATAATATGTAAAATTTTAAACACAGACAATGCAAAAAAGTAATGCATTAATACTTAAGAAAATTGAGGGGATGCTCATCAACTGAGGAATGGCTGAACAAGCTGTGATAGATGATTGTGATAGAATACTATTGTGCTATAAGAAATGATGAGCAGGCAGATTTCAGAAAATATTGGGAAGACTTGCCTGAACTGGTGCAAAGTGAAATGAGCAGAACCAGGAGAACATTGTACACAGTAACAGCAACATGGTACAATAATCAACTGTGAACAATTTATCTATTCTGATCAATACAAGACAATTCTGAAGGACTTATGATGAAAAATGCTATCCACCTCCAGAGAAAGAAATGATGGAGTCTGAATGTAGATCGAGGCGCAACTTTTTCAATTTCTGTTTTTGTTTTATTTCACAACATGGTCAACTTGGAAATATGTTTTGCATGATTTCCCATGTATAATTGATATTACATTTCTTGCCTTTACAATGGGTGGAGGAGAGAGAGAATTCAGAACTCAAAAATTTTTCTTTAATTAATGTTAAAAAAATAAATAATAAATTTGAAAAAAATTACAATAATACTAAAAATGACTTACTTTGCTGTGGGAGGATTATCCAGTAAGTTACTTAAATTGCAGTCACCTTGTGACATGTAATGTTGGAGTTCAGAGGAAATTTTTATAATCAAATGATAACAATTACTGGCTTCAGAATTGCCTTCTAATCTGAAAAATACAAAATTTTAGATTTATAACTAAAATTTTAGAAGTTCATATTTGACTAAATGAATATGCAACTAATTTGTATAAACATTCTACTTTTCATGACTTTGTTACATAATATCTCTTGTATAAAATCAACACCAAATCCTTTGAGTAATGAACAGGTACTGATCAGCAAATATTTTTTTCAGTGATGTAACAATGTACTTTTGACATTTAGTTTAGTTTCGATTCAATTTCAAGTAGCTGCCTTTTCAAAGCCTTTGAAAAAGACATATTTGCATTATATACACATTAACACACACACACACACACACACACACACACACACGGCAACCTGAATGTTAATAGTTTCTTAACCTATAACTTGAGGGCAGCAATGTTTCCTTAATGAAATGTATTATTTCACTTGAAAAAAATATCTATAAAATGCTTAACTAGGGAAGATTTTTTTTCCGTGAAGGACTGCATGTAATTTCATTATTATTTAGTCTTCTAAAGAGATGAAGTGGAATTGGCACTGTAGAAAATAAAGATGAGAAAAACTGCTAGTCCAGACCAAGCATAAACAGAGGAGGTCTATAAAACTGAAGATCACTCAAATGACAATGGAGAGGGACACAGTAGGCAAGAACAGGGTAGAACACATTCTAAGTAAAGAATTACAAAAGAGAAGTAACATGAAGGATTTCATCAAAGAAATACATGAGCAAAAAAAAAGGGGGGGGGGCCTGGGTGAGAGCATTTTAGTGAGAGCAAGAGATAACTGAATGTCCATCCAACTCCACTGGTACCCTCACTCCCTAGAACAAGAGGCAGAGGAAGAGTAGCAACCCCCAGCAGCATGGGTGGCTCCCCAGTGGCAAAATCATAGCAAGACTGAACAGGAGTTGCAAAAGATGAGCAGGCAAGGTGGGTCGTGGCCTGCAGCATTGGAGGAAATGCCGACCTTGATGAGATCACAGATTCATGTGAGTATCTAAGTATTGGTCTTTTAAAAGCTTCTCCGAATAAGAATGAATTTTAACACTAAGGATCAAAGGCCATCTGACTCCATGACTGTACAACATTTGTCCTCTACCTTTCTTTAAATTGAAACATACCTGGTTTCTTCCTGAACATGTTCTACTGGCACTAATGGAAGCTGAGGCCATATTCTGATGCTTTTCTCACAGTACAGAATCTAGGAAATAAAATATAATTAATTTTAAGGAATTTAAAGATATTTTCTGATAAATATATTTTTCAAAACAACAAATTTATAATGTAATGCATGTGAGAAACTCATTAAGCTCTACTTTTAGTATTTTAGCCAAAAAATTAGCATAAGTAATTCAGCATTTTACTGACTGGTATGCATAAATTGCAAGTAAATTATTAGAAACACAGAACAAGTTCACAATTAAGTGATTTAAAGTAATGACTATTGTGGATACACATTTACAATGTCTCCTTAACACCCTGATGTGCAACTACAATGACCTTGGCCTAGAGTTGAACTCTAGGTCCTAGAGTTGAACTGGATGTTCAGCAGACATCTTAAACCCAACATGTCCCAAATTGAGCTCATTATCTTTCCCCCCAAGCCTTCCCCTCTTCCTCAGTTTCCTATTTCCATCTCTCACAGATGCCCCCTTCTCTCCTACAGGTCCTCAGTCATCTCACACCTCAATCACTACAAGAGTCTCTGGCTGCTCTCCCTGCCTCAGTCTCTCCCCACTCCAGTTTCTTCTCCATTCAGCTGTCAAACTGACCTTCCTAAAACACAGGTCTGACCATGTCACACCCCCTAAACTGCAGTGGCCCCCTATCACCTGCAAGATCAGATCTCAAATGCACTCTTTGGCTTTTAAAGACCTTCATAACGTGCCCTGACCTGCCCCAACACCTTTCCAGTCTCCTTACACCTAATTCCCCTCCAAGTACCCCCAATCCAGGGACGCTGGCCTCCTCACACAAAACAGTCCATCTCTTGACTCTGAGCATTTTCACTGGCTGTTCCCTATGACTGGAAATGTCTCCCTCCTGATTACCCTCTGGTTTTCCTGAAAACCTTCATCTTCCTTCAAGTTTCAGCTAAAGTATGACCTTTTTTTTTTTTTTTTTGGTCTAGGCAATAGGGTTAAGTGACTTGCCCAGGGTCACACAGCTAGTAAGTGTTATGTGTCTGAGGCCAGATTTGAACTCAGGTCCTCCTGACTCCAGGGCCAGTGATCTACCCACTGTGCCAAAAAGTATGACCTTCTGCAAGAAGCCTTTCCCAGTCCTTCTTAATGTTAGCAACTTCCTTCTGAAACTATTCCCAATTAGGTGGAACAGTACATAGAGCCCTAGGCCTAGAGTCCTTAAGAAGTGAATTCAAATCTGGCCTCAGATACTTACTAGATGTGTGACCCTGGGCAAGTCACTTTACCTCTGTTTGTCTCATCTACAAAATGGAGATAATCATAGTACCTATCTACTAGGTTTCTTGTGAGGATCAAATGAGATAACAATTGTAAAGTGCTTAGCACAGTGCCTGGCACACAGTAAGTGCTACATAAATGTCATCTATTATTATATATTTTGTTTGTACATAGTTGTTTGCATGTTGTCTCCCCCCTCAGACTGTGAGCTCCTTGAGAGCAGGGACTGGTTTGCTTCTTTTTCTTTTTTTGTAGAGGGGAGGATTGCCAGTATTCCCAGTGCTTAATGCAGTGCCTGGCACATAGTAGGTATTTAATAAATCCTAGTTGACTGAGTAGGAAAATGCATCTCCCTACCTTCATCGAGAGGGGTGAAAATAGGTACAGCATATTGCATGTGCTGTCACTCATGTTGATGTGTTGGTCATTTTTGAACTGTTTTTTCCCCTCTTCTTTAAAAAAATCTTTGTTATAATGAATGGCTCACTTCACAGGGAAGAAGGGAAGGAAATATTTGGAAATGAGTGTTACATTAAGAAAAGACATCACTAAAAGTGAGAATTTTTAAAAGAAAGAAGAGCTCATTGGTGACCTTGGGGAAGGCCATTTCAGTTAAGTGATGAAATCAGATGTCAGAAAGGACTGATAAAAGTACAAGTGGAGGCAATAAAGAAAGGAAACTTTCATTTTTCCTCTTCCTGGGGGTTCTGCTGTGAAAGGAAGGGAAAATATAAGAAAGAATATGAGGGGATGGCCGTACCACATTTGATTTTTAAGGATGGGAAGACCTTCAGGTGTGTGTAGGCAGTAAAGAAGGAGCCGGTAAATAAAGAGAGGCTGAAAATCAAGGAGAGAAAGAGGAGATGATCAAAAGGGCAAGCCCCAGGAGGAGACAGGATGAGGATCAGAAAGCCCTGAGATCGAATTTGAATCTTGATTCTGTCATGTCATAGCTGTGTGACCCTGGGCAATTCACTTAACCTCTCAGACTCAGTTTCTCCATCTGTAAAATGGGAATAACAACAACAATAATTAATGTCCAACAGGCAACTGGTGATGCCTAGCTAAGGACAGAGACTGGGGTTAGGTATATAAAATCTATGAGTCATTTATGCAACTAAATCCATGGGAGCTGATGAGGTCCCTGAGAGAGAAAATACAGAAAGAGAAGCTTAGGAAGCTTAGGACAGAATCTTGGGGAAGACTCTCATTTAAGTAAAAGGGATGTGATCTCAATGATGAACCAGCAAAGGAGCCTAAAGAGTGGCTGAAACGGGAGACCACAATAGAGAATGTCACAAAGGCCCAGAGAGGAGAGAGCATATGAGAGGAGAGATGGCCACATGTTAAATGCACCAGATATTAAAGAAGGATAAGGACTGAGAAAAAAAATCAGATCTGGCCATTAGGAGATTATTGGTAACTTTAGACAGAAGAGTGTTATGGTCAGAAGCCAGAATACAAAGGTTTGAGTAGTGAGAGGAGGGGATATGGAGGCTACAATGTAGACGCCTTTTCAATGATTTTATCTGAGTGGCTGGCAGGGTCAAGCGAAGCTTTTTTAAGGATGGGGAATGCCTGGGCTCTTTTGAAGATGGTAGGGAAAGAACTAATAGGTTGAAGGTGAGAGAAAGAGAGGCAGGGAGGGAGAAAATAAGGGAAGAAAAGAGAGAAGAGGAGAAGAGATGAAGAGGGAGAAGGAGAGGGAGAGGATGAAGAAGAAGAACTGAGAGGAAAAGAATGATTGAGACTGCAATGTGCAGGCGAAGACTGAAGGAGATAAGGTTCAAAGGCAGCTCAGTAGTCAAAGACTAGAGAAAGGAGAGAGTGGGGACTATATCAAGATGTTTCAGAATGAAGAGAAAGAGACAGAAAGCTCACATTAAATGGTCTCGATCTACCCTTCTTCTGAATTGTCTGAAATCTGATCTTCTAAAATCTAAGACCATGTCACATTATTCCTAATTTTCCTTTCCTTGTCTATTACAAATCTTAAGCTAAAGGAGGCAATGTCTCCCTCTTACCTTCACACAAAGTTCCATCATTTCTACCCCATTTTGTGAGAATTAGATCCAGACAAGTTCCTCAAGTTCAGCATTCCATATTTTGAAGGATTAAAAAATCACTAAGGCAAGCCAAGACATTATTATCTCCTCTGGTTTTTACAGAAAAGAGTTCTACAGCACATTGATTGAAGTTCTCCGTCACTACTCTACCATGACTTGGTTCCAGGCTTATAAATGAACAAGTTCAACAAAATACACATACACAAAAAATTATTCTTTTAGGTAACGTGCCTTCCTACCTTTTTTTTAAGCTGAGAAACTGGATGGAATTGAGAACAATAGCAATTTGCACAGTTGATTAAAGTTTTGATTGATGCATTCTCCTGGTTTTTAAAAAAAAAAGCACAGATTAAGCTTAATCACTGTAACTTTTGTTTTAACTCATGGCTTTCTAACACCAAACTGAAAGTCATTTAAAGACACAGGCTTCCCAGAGACCTTACCTCAAAGAAAAGACAGGGAAACAAAATGAAAAAAATTTGAAATGAAATTTGAATGAAATGAAATGAAAAAATGAAAAAAAATTCTTCATTAACATTCTGTGAAACTTGAAATATAAGGCCAGATTACAGCCAATGATAGTTTTAATTTAATAAATAATAAGACATTCTAACAAAATTTTTTTAAAATGACAGCTTTAATAATAATTATCTTGGTATGTCCCACCCCTAGACAAATTTAGTAGACATTTAGAGAATCTTTTATATATTTACTAGCTTAATATACAGTTTTGAAAAAAGATTTTTTTTTTAGTTCATAAAATGATAGAATTATATACTATTAGAGCTAGAAGAGATCTCAATGATCCTCTAGTCCAGGGTTCCCAATCTTTCTCAGTTCCTATACCCCTTGGCTTTCAATAACCCTTCCTATACCCTATGCCCTTCTTATATGAGGTAGGTAGGCAGCACAGTGGACAGAGCACTGGGCTTGGACTCAGGAAAATCTGAGTTCAATTATGGCCTCAGACTTACTTACTAGCTGTGTGACTCTGGGCAAGTCATTTAACTTCAGTTTGCTGCAGTTCTCTCAAATGTGAAATGGGGATAACCTGCCTCACAGGGTTGTTCTGAGGCTCAAATGAGATCCTATTTGTAAAGCACTTAGCACAGTACCTGGCACATAAATGCTTATTCTATTTCCTATCCCTTCCCCCCTATACAATACATGCAATAAGAAATGAAATAACAAAATTAATTTCAATAGGATAAGAGTTCTTCCATATTCCCGACACCATTCCATAAGTTTCTCACGCCCCAGGCTGGAAACCCGTATTCTAGTCCAAACTTCTCATTCTACAACCAGATGAAGAATGTGAGAGTCAGAAAGGGGAAGAGATTTGCCCACGGTCACATGAATTGTTGGATGTCACATCAGGAGCAGAGAACCACGTTAGGGTTCTCTACCATACCACACAGCTCCAGTTTTTGACAATTCTCATTAGCATTTAGAAACACACAGAGACATATTTCTAAGAAGTAGTTTAAACAACTTCAAATTAAATTAACAGAAAATCTGTAGACAGATCTGTCAAGGAGAATTTTTAAAAAGAAGTCAATAAAAAGACTCCATTCTCAATTCTCCCTACTAGCAGAGAAATAAATGATTCAAAATAGAACTGAGAACTGGCTGTATTTTAAAGTAATCTTGTTTTGTGCATACCTGGTAGCAAATATAACTGACATTAATTTTCCATAAATAATACTACCTTAGAAACTGATAACACATCTTCTCCAACAAATCTGAGTAACAGTACAACGGAAAAGGCAAGTAGCTGATTTGTAACCTCCTTTGGAAAGTCATTTAAGTTGATCTCCCCGTGGCTTAAGCGATCTCTTACACGGGGGCCTTCTTGATGGTTCAAAAAATCCCAAAGAAACTCCTGTCAGGAAACAAAAGGAGATAAGACACTTGTAGTCTTATCAGTGTGAACTGCGAGAAGCCAACTATAGAACAAATAACAAACTTCCACAGGGCAATACTTTTGAGAGCAATCATTATAACATAAACAATACACTGTTGGTACATGTTTCCTACCATAAAAATCTTTCTTTGGCAAAGGATCACAGGATTTAGAGACAGAAAGAACTTTAGAAGTTATCTAGTCCAGACCCCTCATTTCACTGATAAGGAGAGGGAGGATCATGAAAATTCAATAACTTGCTGAAGGTCATTCAGGTAATAAATGGGTCAGAATCAAACCTGGATCTTCTATCTCCATATCCAGGGCTCTCAAGTACTACTAAATATAGAATCCTAACTTCCTATAAATCTTTTGCAAACACCTATTTCTTACAGTGTATTTTGGGACAAAACAAAATAAAACAAGCCAGAAAACAGTCAATGGGATTTTACATGTTTCACTAATATGCATAATATACTGTGCAACAATTTATTAATAATATAATCTAACCACTTCCGTCTTGATCTAAGTAAGGGGTTTTTTAGGTTTTGTTTTCATTTTGTTTTATGTTTAGGCATGAATTAAGATCCCTAAGAAATCTGGGGAAAATTTTGAATGAGTTACAGTGACTAGAGCTTCTAACAGCTATTGGTAATGATTGTTTATAAAACTTTTCTCTGCTACCCAACCTCTCTCCAGTTAAGTCTACCAAAATGTTATTGATCTCTCTTTATATATACCTAGACTTCAATACTGTCCACAGCATTGTCATTCTTTCCACTTGTCACTCCCTTGGCCTTTTGTCTTTCATTTTGAGGCTCAAATAAATTGAAATAGTTATTTTCCCCTCCTCAATAACGTGGAAATGGAATACATATCCCCTTCCCCTATGTGTCTACCCGCTACTTTCCCCTCCCCAGGTGGTGGCAATTGCTCTCAAAGGTTTTGGGCAAAAAAAAAGGTTTGAAAAATACTTATCAGTTCAAACTACCTCTGCTGCCTCTGAACTTAGAGTTGGCCTTTTGTTGCCAAAAGAGGCCCCAGAGAACTATTGGTCTAATACTTTATTTTACAAATGGCAAAGCCCAAAGAGGGTAAATGATTTTCCCAAGCTCACATATCTAATAACATAGCTAAAATTAAAGCTAGTCTCTTGACGTCTTGTCCAATATATTTTCAACATAAAATTCTGAAATATCTTCCTAATGTACATACAATTTAAATAGAAAAAGGGGACAGACTTTGGTCCCTAATAATTTTCGCTGAACAGAGATGTGACTCACTATTACATATTTTCTGATTAAATTATTGCTGGTAGACTATAAAACCTGAACAAAAAAGCTAGATAGCTAGATGGTACATAATAATAGTAACAGCAGACATCTACATAGTGTTTTAAGATTTACAAAGTACTTTACATATATTATATCATTTGAATAACGTATTTATATATCATTTGCTCAGTCATTGTATATTTACCTAGAATTCACACTGAATAAATTCTGCTCAAGATGAAAATAAAGTATATTTAGCTGATAAGGGAGATCTAATATCTTTTATTATCTGCCATAATTATAGCTCTCATAGTGGTATCAGCATTGCTGCCAACTATTCTATAAAATGGAGCCATAAACGAAATTCTAATAATTGAAATTGCAGTATACATGCACTGGCAAGTGACTTGTCTCCGATACATGCCTCATGACAATGATGTTCATTAGAACTGAAGGTACAGTGAGTCTCCACTATTTTACAGGTAGATCCCCCACATTAATCTTCATTACTCTCCAGGCAAACTCTGGACCTTCTCTACCAGGCCCCAGTCTTCAACAGGAAACCAACCTTGCAATGGGTGTCTCTGAAATGATCAAGTTAATCCTCAAAAAACCCATTACCTAAGATTTATTCAAAGCCTTGCTATCTTAGAGAGGCTGCCAAAGTCTGCGTTCCCAGGTGCAGCCATCAAAACCCATGAGAGGAATTAGACAAAGACTTCAGTGGAGGGCAATGAACTGAATTACCTATTGAAACAGACCTTTCATAAGCTAAATTCACATAGGCACGTCCAAATAACTCAGAACGATAACCTACACATAATTTTGACTACAGTGAAATGAAATTATATTTAGAACAGTATGAAGCAGCCTTTATTTATCAATATTGATTTAGGAGATTTACAGAGCATTTTTCCTGCAAGAGTTATAAAAAGAAGTTATTGTGTATTTTTGTTTCAATGAATTCATATTGCACCAAATGGCATTCACATAAGAATACATCTTATATTTGGCATATACACACACATGTATGTGTATGTAGGTTTAGTTTAATTATCCAAAATGCTCTGTTAGAATACATTTTTAATTTGATCCTTTGTCCTCAGATTTTCCAACACATAAGAGCTTCTAAGGTAGAAATAGCACAATACCTGTCTGTGCCTCTCCACACTCATGTTATTTTGGATACTAGGTTCATGGCTTTCCAGAAGAGGCAAGTGAGCTACAAGTAGTGCATTACTTCCTACCGGATGTATGAGGTAATTAATTTCTTAGACGAGCAGCTGACTGATGACATAGGAAGCTGCCTCTGCAGCTTTTCCTACCTGCTAACTCCTTAGAAGGGCCCTGGGCTAGGAGAGTGCTAATGCTTTGGTGCTCTGGTCTAGGACTATGAGAATCCAGTCTGAGCAGGGCAGCCCAAGTGTGTGTTACCTCCCTGGAAAATAGGACAGAACAGGGAAAGCAGTCAGACAGTTTCCTGCAGCTAAGCAAACTCTCTGGGCCCTTCTTCTCTTATATATAAAACTGGTCTCTGACCATTCCATTCTGGAGCTGGAGGATAAAGCTCTGCCTTCCAGGGTCAGGATGAATGGAAGTCATGGTGAGAGCCATCATGACCAACACTCCACTGGTTCAACAACCTCTGAGGACAACTGAGAAATATTTGTAGCGCATTAGTGTCTCTCCCTCCCTTTCTATCTCTCTCTTTTCTGCTCTTACTTTTCTTTTCCATTCTTTACTTTTTTCTTCACTTTCTCTCCTTTTGCCATTGCTTCCCCTCCTTGCCTCTATTTTTTCTCCCCACTCTTTTTTCAACCTTTAACTTATAACTTTCTTGTAACTTACACCTCTTTTTTATACCTTTTTCTGCCTATTTTTTCACCTTCAATTTTACCATACAATTTTCTCCACTTCTCTTCATTTCTCTCATTTAGCCACACATAGATAAGAGCTTACTAGTCCTATTCCCTCCTCTTCACCAACCCCTTTCCCCACCAAAGAACAAAACAAAACAAAACAAAAAACAAACAAACAAAATCCTCGGGACATCTCCCTTTTAATCCACAGTGTTACAGAAATTCAGACATCTAGAAATCTGAACCAAAATGCAAGTCAGGAAACATTGCTTTGAACATATATTCTGGAAGGAAATCTCTTAATCCTGGCCAAAGTTAACTACTTTTATTTTGTTTTGACTAAGTCATTTCCATACATACAGAATGTTAAATTTGGAGGATATTTAATACTTTACCATAGCAGGTTCTCCAAGGAAAAGAGGAAGATGATTGATTTCATCATCACTCAATTGTTTTGCTAATATCTAAAGAGACAAAGAAATAAATTGTGAATGTACCACAAAGACTCACAATAATTACTTCTTAACAGTGGTATTACTGAGACAAAATAATACTTCTGGGAAAGTATTTAAAACATGAAAAATGAGAGAACTACTGAACTTCACATGCAGATTTTACTTTTAAATAACTACGAAATTGCAATAAGAAGTGTTTATTCAGTATAGACTAAAAAAAGCAAATATTTATAAACGTTTTAAGATTTAAGAACTGCATTTCTCTAAAACCAAGGGTAAGCATTTTCAATAATGCAGATCAGGAGTGAAGCAAGGCTGTCCATTATTACCATATTGTACAACTATTCAATATTGTACTAGAAATGTTAGCTACAGAAATAAAACAAGGAAATTGAAGCACATAGCTAGTGAGGAAACTATTACTTTCTGCACATGATATCATAGTTTACCTAAAGAACCTTAGAAAGCCAACCAAAAAACTAATAGAAACAATTAACAACTTCAGCAAATTTACAGGATGTAAAATAAACCCACACAAATCATTAGCATTTCTGTATTATTGCCATCAAAATCCATAAGGAAAAGATAGAGAAATTCCATTTAAATTAACAACAGACAGTATAAAAAACTTGGGGGTCTACCTGCCAAGTGAGACACAGGAACCATATGAACACTATTTCCTCACACAAATAAAAACATATCTAAAGAATTAGAAAAATATTTATTGTTCATGGTTGGCCAAACCAATACAATAAAAATGACAACACTACCTAAATTTACTTATTCAGTACCATACCAATCAAATTACCAAAGAATTACTTTATAAAGCTAGAAAAAATAATAGCAAAATTCATCTGGAGGAACAAAAACTCACGACTATCAAAGGAATCAATGAAAAAAAAAAAGTGGGAAGGAAGGAGGCCTAGCAGGACCAGATCTCAAACTATGCTACAAAGCTGTAACATCAAAATGATTTGGTACTGGGTAAAAAATTGAGAAGCTGATCAATGGAAAAAATTAGGTACACAATATAAAGAAGCAAATAAACACAGTAACTTAATGTTTGATAAATTCAAAGATCTCAGCTATTGGGATAAGAACTCACTATTTGAAAAAAAAAACTATTAGGAAAACTGTAATGCAATCTGGCTGAAACTAAGAATAGGCCAATATCTCATATCATATAACAAGATAAGCTCAAAAATGGTGCATGATTTAGGCATAAAGAGTGATATCACAAGCAAATCAGTAGAGAAGAAATTACCTTTCAGATCTATGGCTAGGGGAAGAGTTTCTGATCAAACAAGACAGAGAGGTTCACAGGAGATAAGATAATTTTGATTATGTAAAATTTAAAATGTTTTACACATTAAAATCGATGCAGTTAAAATTAGAAGAAAAGCAGGAAACTGGTGGGAAAACTTTGTAGCAAATTTCTGATAAAGGTCTCATTTCTCAAATATATAAATCAAATTTGTGAGAATAAAAACCATTCCCCAACTGATAAATGATTAAAGGATATGAACTGGCAGTTTTCAGAGGAAGAAATCAAAGCTAACAATAGCCATATAAAAAAATGTTCTAAAACACGAGTAATTATTAAAGAAATGTAAATTAAAACAACTTTGAGGTATCACCTCACACTCCTCAGATTGGTTAAGAAGGCAAAAAAGGAAAATGACAAATGCTGGAGGGAATGTGGGAAAACAAGCACACTAATGTGTTGTTGGTGGAGCTGTGAAGTAGTGAATCATTCTGCAAAGTGATTTGGAACTATATCCAAAATGCTATTAAACTGTGCATACCACTTAACCAAGAAATATCACTACTAACATACCCCCAAAGAAATCAAAGAAAAGGAGTCACATGTACAAAAAAAAAAGTCTTCTCTTTTCCAGACTCACTTATTTCAATAAATCCTCAAACAGAATTATCTTGAGGCCCTTCACCATTCTGGTTGTACTCTTATGGATTCTCCAGCTTATTAATGTCCTTCCTAAATGCATGGTGCCCAGAAATAAACATGTTATCTCAGGCACAATCTGACCGGGGTGAGTACAACAGGACTATGATTTCCTTGGTCCTGGACACTTTGCTTTTATTAACATAACCCAAGATAGCATTAGCTTACTTTGCTCCCAGATAACACTGTTAATTCAAATGGAGCTTGCAGTTCACTACAAAACCCTGATTTTGTTCAGATGGACTGTTATTTGGCCATACCTTCCCCCACCTTGTACTTCTGAAGTCAGTTTTTTAACACAAGTTAAAAACTCCATTTAAAGAAATTTCATAAGCATTACTTAACTACTTACTTCATCAAAGGTGGTGTAAAAAGCTGTAGACTTAAGAAGAGAAAAGAAAAAAATTAAAGTAAAATGCAGGTAGAATAACAGTATTTAAACAGGAAAAAAAAATTAGTGCATGGTCACAAATCCTAAACTGTCTTTGACCTCCTATGGTTGGGAAGGCAATGAATAAACTGATTGAATAACAGCATATTATAGGAGACCTGTGGCATTATAAACCAGTAATTAAGCCATGTTTAAATAATACTCTTATGAGGAATTTCAGTTGTGGCGCTTTTAAAACTCTGGATGCAGTAAGATAACATGAGCTTCCCTAGCACATGAAATTTCTGTATTCATTTCCATATCCACATGAAGGACCTGTGATATGATCCACATGGGGGATGCCAGGTGTAAGAAGTCTCTCTACCAGAAGAGAGGCATTAAGTGGTCTGCCCAGGCTCACACACTTAATTAGTGCCAGAGGCAGGATTAAATCCGTCTTCTTAACTCCAAGCCCAGAACTGTGTTCCCTATGCCATGTTGCCTCCCTTATTATTTCACATATCATTAGTTTAAAAGAGTACATATTTGGTGACACCATAGAAAAAAATGATTAAAAGGCCATCATAAAGGTAATAAACATCACACCTGCAAATCACTATAAGAATAAGAAGTAACAAATAAGATAATCAATCAGAAAAATATAACTCAAATTTACAGATCATAAAATTATTTTAGTACTAATGGTTTATACTTATATAGTGCTTTGTACCAACAAAATATCTTACCTATACTGTCTCCTTTGATCTTTACTATGACTGTTAAAAAGGTAGTTCATAGGAGATCAGGGACTGTCATTTTGTTTCTGTATCCTCAACACCTAACAGAGTTCCTGACACATAGTAGGTGCTTAATGAATGTTTATTGACTGATTTATTGCTTACTTATTTTACAGGTTAAAAAAAAAATGCAGGTTCAGCGAATTAAATAATTCAGGCAAATAGCTCATCCTATACTCTGAAAGCAAACAGGTAAAAAAATGAATAAACTCAAAATATTTTTCTATCACTGATCTCAGATAAATGACTAGCTTTCAGGCTATCTCCTAATCATAATAACAGAACAAACAAAAGCATATATACCTCTGCTGTCAAAAGTCTTTTTGGACATTTATTAACTGTGGTGAAGACTTTTCGGAGTCCAGTTTCCAGCTGTGTCAGTAACAGTACTATACAGTCAGCATATCTGTGAAAAAGATCCAAAATTCTTCATAAAGACTGATACAATCAAACTTTACAACATCAAAATAGCAGTCCAGGTATTGCTAACCTGATGTTAAAAGTAAGGTAAAATTAAATGACTTCCTTAAGCTAGAAATAAATCCGAAGCAAAATAAAAATAGAAATCAAACTGTCATTGTATTATTTTTTTAAACAATGCTTCATTGTGTCCCAGGATTCAATGAGGCATCTTTAGTGATACCCAAATGGAAGACTATGTTGTCATGGTAGTCTTATTTGATTTCTCTTTCACAACACTAGACATTCACAAATATTGGCGCTAAAGTGAATCTCAATGGGACTTATATGTTCAAAAATATTTGTGGCAGCTCTTTTTGGGGAGGCAAAGAACTGGAAATTGAAAGGATGTCCAGTAATTGGGGAATGGCTGAACAAGTTATGCTATAGAAACATAATGGAACATTATTGTGCTGTTAGAAATGATGAAGGGAATCGTTTCATAAAAACCTGGGAAGACTTATATAAACCGATACAAAATGAAGTGAGCAGAACCAGATGAACATTGTTCATAGTAACAACAATACTGTAACAATGATCAACTGTGAAACACTTGGCTCGGATCAATATAAAGATACATGACAATTCCAAAGGGCTCATGATGAAAGAACTAATGAACTGAGCACAGACTGAAGTATAACTTTTTAAATTTTCTTTATTTTTCTTGCTTTTTTTTTTTTTGCAACAGAGTAAACATGGAAATATGTTTTGCAAAATTTGACTTGTATAATGGGTATCATATTGCTTGCCTTCTCAACTGGTGAGGAAGAGGCTAGAAGAAAGGTGACAATATGGAACTCAAAATTTTTCAAATGAGTGTTTTTTTTTTAAAAAGCGAATCTCAAGGGCATGAAAAATCAACGTAACACAAACTTTAAACATCATCATTCATACTAAGCCTCCTAACTCCTTTTTGTTATTTTCTCATATTTGCTCTCTTTCCCCTTTTTACAGTCTCCATTAAGGCAGAGGTCTTATCTGATCTCCGTGGTTTTCTGAGCTTCCCAAGGGTCAAATAGAGTGATCTGCTCAAGAAATGCTATCATATTAATTCTATTAAAAATAGAAACAATTTGGAAGGAAGTAGACCATTTAAGTAACAATTACTATAATAAAACTTGAATAGCAGATATTTTTAGATTAGCTACCAAGAGTTTTATTTCTGCTCTTTTCTAATATAGCTAATAGCTTGTTGAGTCATCTAAACTCAACTCTTTCATATATTTATATTCAAACTGCAAACAATCTATGGAAAGTCAAAAATTCTTTTGATTATCCCCCAACTCCAAATCCTAAGTTTGACAATTTAATTCTTCACTTACCTGTGTGATCTGAATTTCATTACCATAGCTTCCCAAAATGGGATCATGATTTTCAACACAAAAGTAGATTTCTTTATCAGTTCTTCAACTACTGACAGTACTTCATCATTAACATCTGCACACAGAAATAATCTTTGCATCAGTCAATTTTTAAAAATCAGTAATACTAACCAACACCAAAGAAATTTAAACAATTCCACAATGTACTGTAGAACTGGCTTCTTTATGTTTATGAACCAAAAACTATGGTACTTGATAAAATCACCAGTTACACTGTTCATTTCCGTATCTACAGTTCTACAAGACTTTATTGACTAGCCCTCAAACTCTCATCCTCTACAGACTTGTTCTTTTCCCAAAGCGTCCAACATATATTTGTAATTTATCTACATTCAATATATACATGATTTTTCATGATTCTCCTGCATTACTCATATTTCTTGTCCCAATTTTTCTTCTACTTCTCTAATTTGCTTTTTAAAATCCTTTTTAAGCTCTTCCAGGAATTCTTTTGGGACCTGAGACCAAATTATAGTTTTCTTTGAGGCTTCACATGTAGCCATTTTGACATTATTGTCCTCTTATAAGTTTATGCCTTGATCCTCCCTATCACCATAGTAACTTTCTATACTCAAACTCTTCTTTTTTGTTTTTTGCTCACTTTTTTTCTGCCTTTTTTTTTGGTGACTTGATGTTTTCATGTGAGAGTTGTGCTCTGTTCCTGCACTGTTCCAAACTTCTTGTGTTGTGGCTCTGGGTCTTCCTGCTGGCTTAAACTGGGCTTTAGGGCTTAGCTTCTTGCTTTCTCTGGAGAACAGGCTTCCCTTCGGGCTTGTACTGGGGCAGTGGGGCCTCCCTGTTGGCCTTTCTGGGGCGCTGGATTTAGCTGCTGGCCTGCTCCAGGGATAGGGCTTTGCTGCTGGGTTGCTGTGGTAACTGAGTCTTTCTGGTGGCTGGCCTGGGAGGAGACATCTTATTGCTGGTCTGCCCCCAGGAACAGGGTCCTGCTGCTGGGTTGCTATGGAAACAGGACCTCTTGGCTAACAAGCCCTGGAGGAGTAATTTTGTTGCTGATGTGCCTGGAGGGGTGGGGCTCTGCTGCTGGGTTGGTATGGAAACAAAGTCTCTCTGCTGGCTGTGGCTGCTGTTTGCTGTGGCTGCTGCTGCTGCTGCTTCTGTTATTCTTGGACCTCACTCCCCTCCCACCTCAGTAAGGCTGACCTTTCCTGCTGGCTAGTAAGCTATTTTCCTGCTCCTACACCAATTCTGAGGCAGTTTTCTACTTGTTTTGGGGGGAATTTGGGAGAGCTTCTGAAGGTTCTTTCCTCACACCACCACCTTGGCGCTGGAAGTTACTAGTGTAGCCTTGTACTACATTCATACGAGGCACAGTGCCTAGAATGATGAGATGAGAGTCTCACTAAGCTCTACCGTGGTCAGACCACATTGGGAGTTTTTTATTCGGTTCTGGACATCACATTTTATGAAGAACATTGATAAGCTGAAGAGGATACAGAGGAAGGCAATTAGCTTGGTGTGGGTCCTCAAGACCATGCAATACAATTCCATGACAGACAAGAGATACCAGCCAGGTATGAATCATCAGGCCTTTGAGTGAATTCAGTTCATGAGTTAATATTTCAATAAATACCATATCTGTTGCGTTTCAACCCTTTCTGACATATCATGAGATTGGATGGATTGAATCCATCACTTCTCCTGATACATATAGGCCCTAAAGGAGAACATATGATTACAAAAACTGGGCCTTGCTATTTTTGATTCTTTTGCTTCTCCTCACTGACTCTGTACATTTGATAGGTCTTCTTGTCCAGGTCAGCTAGTTCAATCCTATAAGGCTAGATATTAGATAAATATCTGGTTTCTATCTAACAGATTTGGTTTGGTAAAGCTATAGTTATTTTTTCAGACACCAACCTTTCTAGAGTCCATTTCCTCACCCTTATTTCTGGGGTACTAAACCCCTTAACCTTGTCGGGTACCCTTTTTATATACATTTCTCTTCTCCCAAATTCTTCCAGATGAACTCATCACTCTCTGGCCATGAATCATCTGTGCCTTAGTAGCTCTTGGATAAGAAAATTCTTCATCACTCAGGCCTTCCTAATTTTTCTTCCTCCAGAATTCAGGCAGCAAGAAATTTGCAGTGATACTTCCCATACTTTTCTTGAGGATTTTTAGGCTTCAGTCTTGAAAACTGTCTCTAATTTTTTAACTGTTTCTCTTGGTTGGTCTAGAGCGATAGCTTTTTAAATCAGTTGTCATTATTTTTAAAGGTGACTTTGTTATCATACATCACAAGACTAGCATCTGAGTCCTCTCCTTTCCAGAAATCCTGTGACTGCAGACCTCAGACTCTAGGGCACCTTGGTCCCTTTCCCTGAGCTTGTCTCTCCATTGGCATGGAGGCCCCTTCCAGACAGCTCTTTTGCTGCTGCTACTGCTAGTGTTCCTCCTCTGGCTCCCAGTTCACTCCCAAAAACTTCTGTTGGTCCTTTTTCTTGTTTCAATTTCCTCTGGGTCTTTGGTAGTTAAGTTGGATTTAGTGACTTAAAGGGGAGCATATTCAAACTTCAAGTTTATTAAGTACTTGTTGATTAATTAAAATACCTGGGATATAGAATACATAATAAGAACTTACTAATAGGACTAAACCCTGATAATAAAGACACATTTAGCCTACTGTCCCATTCCATCACTCCATATATGTTCTCTTTCTTTTTAAGTAGTGGTGGTGGTAGTTGTAGTGGTAGTAGTAGTAGTAGTACTAGCAGCAGCAGCAGGTAACATTCATATAGCACATACTATGTGCCAGGCACTGGGCTAAGGACCTTGTAAATATTATCTCATTTGATCTTCACAACAACCCTGCGAGGTAGGTGCTACTATTATTCCAATTTTACAACTGAGGAAAATGAGGTATACAGAGGTTAAGTGACTTGCCCAGGGTCACACAGCTAGTAAGTAGAGCAAGACTGGGACTCAGGTCTTCCTGAATCCAGGCCCAGTGCCCTATCCACTGTATCGCCTAGCTGCCAATACTCCTAAGTGATAACTTCCTTGCCTCCTCCAATACCACAGAAAAAGATTCTGCTTTAGTCTTACACTTATACCATCTGGCTTGTTAAACAGTGGCCCTTTGGGTCCTTAAAATATAATTTTCCTTCACTTAGGAAAATCAGAGACCAGTTTCTCATAGGACCAGCGCCAAAAAGGTATATCAAACTCCTAGATACTGACCAGGAGCCCTTCTGACTACCAGGCCCCTCCAACACACAAGTTATAAACATAAGAATATAAAAGCTCAAGAATACATTTTACATCAAGTTACTGCATCCTGCAGTTCATTCCCAACAGTAAAAAAATTCACATCACAATTCTACTTTTTGAATTTATAGCCTAGTTACATATGTGTTTTACAAAGGGAATTCAAATGAGAAAATATGAAATACAGTACTTGCCAGGAAAAATGATCAATTCCTTTAAGTGTGCAAAAGTTAGGAAAGGCCGATGTACGAATGTAAAATTAGTTTGCTGAAGATAACTTTTTAATAGTTGTCCCAATCCTGCTGTCAACAATACTAGCATCGAGCAATATCTAAGGGAAAGTACCATAGAGATATATAAGGAAAAGTATATGAATATATATTTTTACAACTTATGGAGCTAAAAAAATAAACATTTATAGAAAGAAAAGGTGCTACGCACCTGCAAATTATGAGATACTCTGAATCAGATGCAAACACAGGGCTGGGAATGAAAAAGTAGCAGTGACAGAACAAAAACCAGCAAGCTGTCATCTCTACTCAAGACAATAAACTGCATGGGGACAGGAACTGTGTTTTATTGCAATTCTCAGAAATTAGAACAGTAACCTTCATACACTTAAGAAATATTTATTGTTAAACAGGTGAAACACTGACTGAGAACCTCTCAGAATATTCCTCTCACCCAAGGTCCTGTGTATTCTTTTACTGACAACCTAGTCTTTGTATTAATACCAGGCTGCGCACCAGTCCAGCCCATGAGAACCATCTAGTTACAACATTAATACTTTCTCCTATTTTCAAAATCCTATCCCCAAAAGCCTAGGCCTGAGTGCTGTGATTTTCAGGCTGTCACTTTATATGTCATTTATAACATTTAGCATCTTGTCTAGTACTAAACATCCTAAGATGAACACTCCTCTCACTAAATAGAATACACCTTTTGAAATAAATATTTGAATGAAACCTTTCAAAGTAGACCTAGTTCTATAATTTGAGAACCTGCTCCCTAGGTCCACCTGTATCTTATTCCTCAAAATATTTCTTTTTTTGTTGTGTGAACATGAATGGAACAATAGTCATACCTAAGCCTAAAGAGAAGGATATTTTATCAACAACTTACTTTGGAGGAATTTCCTGAGGAGATACAAATCCATGCCACAAAATATTACGCAGATTAAGTCCACATGGAGAACCAATGAATACTCTGACTATATCCATCTAATTAAGATAATGAAAGCAAATTATTGAGTCAATCAATATAACTCTGAGTTTATATTTACATTCTACTACTGAATTCAGAATTTTTTAGCTTAACTGTTTCAGCTGATTTAGGATGAGGTAAATTTGTTTAGCGCTAATAATAACTTATACTAAAACTTCAAAAGATATTATGCTGCACAGTATACAGAAATTTAGTTAATTTGTGCTCATTTGTTAGAATGGAAAGTGCCATGGGCTAAAAGTCAGGAAACCTGGTTTCTATTTCAGAGGCCCACCCTGATTTGCTGTATGAAATTAAGGAAGTCACTTATGTTTAAGTTTCTATGCTTAAGTTTCTCTTTCGGTCAAATGAAAATAACAACATCTTCCCAATAGCCTACCTGACAGGACTGTTAATGGCCCACCCAAAAGATCAGACACATCTTGATTTTAACAAGACATTTATTGTTAGTGTCAATATTATCAACTTACATTTTATAGCTTTCAAAACACTTTCACATTTAATCTGCACAAAATCCCTATGAAGAAGGCAGAGTAGGTATTGTTATTCCAAATTAACAGGGAATTTGTGACTGAGAAGTGTGACTTTCCAAAGTCCACACCTAGTAGTAATTGGTTTAGAAATGGATTAGAAATGGAAACTCCTGACTTTTGACTCCTGTACCCAATTTTCTTTCCAATACACCACGCTGATTCATTTGACATATAAGATTAAATGTAGGCTATGCTTACAGAATTTAACCAAAAAAATCATATCTTCTACACATGACAAAATGAATTCCTAACTAGTTTACAAACTATATCCAAAAAATACTGAAGAGCTGATATCAATCTGAAGTAGACACTGTTGTAATATGCCACAAGGCTCTATATCTAGTCTCTTGCTATTCAAAATTTCTATCAGTAACTTTGATAAATCCAAATTTTAATATCACACAAGGTCAGGAAAAATAGTTAATACACTGGATGACAAAAATGGAATTCAAAAAGATTTCTAAAAACTAAAATGATAAGGACAACAGTGACAAGAAATTGGATAAAAATAAATGTAAGGTCCTTTAAGAAAGACATTGACAATTTACATACAGAAGGAGGAAGTTAAGATAGCAAAGGGTCTTGAAACCGTGTTACATGTGGAATAATAGAAGGAACAACAGATGCTGGCCTAGATAAGAGGGTATTTGGGGAATCATGACGTATCTTCCTCAAATATTTGAAGATTATCATACAGAAAAAGGATTAGAATTATTCTGTACAATTCCAAAGGCTAAAACTAGAATGAATGATTACTAGTTATAGAGAAGTGGATTTTAGTTCAATATAAGGAAGGATTTTATAAAAATTAGAGCTGTCCCACCACAGAATTGATTGCTTTATGAAGTAGTAAGTTCTTCATCACTAAAAATGTTGAAGCAGAAGTCTGGCAACCTTCTATAAGAATATTGTAGAAATAATTTCTTTACCGGGTATAAGGCTGCACTAGGTGTCCTCTACAATCCCTTTTAATTCCTAAAATCTACATGTAACAAATTAGTTTTTGCTTTTTCTGAACCATCATCAACTTGAAATCAGTGAAAGGATGAAAAATACTACTGAGGTATTTCTCTTTGCAAACTACAAAGAAACTTACCACAGATTGTCCAAACACTTCAGCAAGCTCCTTAGATACAAGCAAGTCTCTTAAAAGAAATGGACATTCCTTTCCAATCAATAAAAACACCTACAATTCAAATAAAAGATGTTTTTTTATAGAAAAAAACATTACTTCTAGCTAATCAAACCTAAAAAGAAAACAACAAACACAAAGCAAGGTGTGTACAACGGATAAGAGGAAAAAGTCATTAGAGAACATGTTAACATAACAGGAAGTAACAATTATCTGAATCAAATGATTCACATATATCTTTTATATGATTCTGTCTTGAAGATGGTCACTTATAGGGACAGCTAGGTGGTGCAGTGGATAGAGCACCAGCCCTGAAGTCAGGAGGACCTGAGTTCAAATCCGGCCTCGGACCAAACACTTGACACTTACTAGCTGTGTGACCATGGGCAAGTCACTTAACCCCAATTGCCTAAAAGAAAAAAAAAATGTAAAAAAAAAAAAAGATGGGTCACTTACAGAGAAACAATTACATTGAGCAATCTGAAAACAATTATTCTAGTTCCTGAGCTACTATGTAGACAAATAAAATACCAACTTGGCAGCGCAAATGGGTAATGCTTTTTTCTGTTCCTGTTCAAGCAATTTTTAAACCACACATTAATAATTCTAAGAACTTACGTCACCCAAAGCTCGTTCCAGACATGAGGTTAGTTTCATTAAGTTAAGAGGAATAGCTGCAGGTTGCAGACTCTTCAGAGCAACAAATATTTCAGGAAATAGCTATTATAAGACAATAAATAATAGATGTTAATCCAAAAAAAACCCCAACATTTTTCAAAACAACTATAAATACTATCCCTTAAATTCAACCTTACACATGTTTCAATGGCAACTTTCCATAACTTTTAAACAACTTTCCATGACTTAAACAAATAGGTTATCTCAAACAACACTAGGGGAAAGGAAAGGAAAGAAGTATTTATATAGCACTTTAAAGTTTCAAAGCTTTACAAAAATCATCTCATTTTTTATCCTCACAACAACCATGGGAAGTAGGTGCTATTATTAACCTCATTTTCAGGTGAGGAAACTGAGGCAAACAGAGATTAAGCGACTTACCCAAGCCCAGTTCAATCAAGGAGAAGGATCTTCAAATTAGCTACTAAGTGTTTGAGGCCAAATTTGAACCCAGGTCTTCCTGATTCCAGACCCAACACTTTTATCAACTAGGCAACCAGTTGCCTCTGCTAAGTATTATAGAAAAATCAAGAGCTAAAGTCCAAGTGCTAAGGCATTCTTTTGAATTTTGTTTCTTTCTACTTAGTTAACACTAAAAATTAATTGCAAAATTAATAAAAGTGGTACAAACGGGTATGAATGACATTTTACATAATCAGCTTTTAAGATAAATATAAGTATAGATAGATAAGATAGATATACACACATATATATGCAGGCAGCTTACTTTAACATAAACTATCAACTGTTTAAAATTTAAAAAGATTTTTAAAACTATGCAATTTCTACATATTACACAAAGTTATACCTCTGGAAAATTTGTCCACTGGAACCAAAAAGCATATCGAACTTCAAACTGTGCCTTAGTCAGGGAATACATATGAGTGTGAACAGCTTCACATACAGGACCCAAGAGGCTCACACTCTTTAAGTAATCCACATTTTGTCTTTCTAGGATAAAGAAATGTTTTTTAGCACAGCAGAGATACATGTTACATAGTTTCTCCAAATTATCAAGGAAAAAGGTTAAGAGTAGAATACAGTGTCAAAGTTGGAAGGAATCTTAAAGATCATCCAGCATTTTTATTTTCAGAAAAGGAGTCCGAGACCCAGAGAATTTAAGAATTTGCCCAAAGTCAGACATTCAGTAAATAGCAGAGCTTGGTTTAGGATGAGAGTCATCTGCTTCCTTTGCCCAGTCTCTACGTACTGCACCATACCGCTACTTCTCCCATTTTGATTCCACCTGTTCAGTCAAGGAGAATGACCTTCAGATTAACAAGGGCAGACCAAAAATAGGTAAGCGGGAACTGAAATGTACAATAAGCCCGAGAGATAACACCTAACTGCTATAAATCAGTTCTAGTCTGTTGACCAAAATGAATTATATGTCAGTGTACTGAAACAACTTAAGGTATGATTACAACCACTATTTCTCTTTGATTCCTCAGAACTTAACACAGTGCCTGGTACATAGCAAGCACAAGAACTCTACCTCATATTTTACAGAAAAAATTCAGGTCATTCACCTGAACTCCTTCTTCTCCCTTCTTCCTCATCTATTACTCAGATGTCTTCTGCCATACCCTCCTCCTTCACATGATGAAGTGGCCTTAACTCTTACCAAGGCTAATCCCTCTACCTGTTCAAGTGATCCCACTCCATTTTATTTCCTCCAACAGATTGTCCCCTCTGTCATCCCTACTCTTTCACTTATTTTTAATCTCTTCCTGTCTATGGGCACCTTCCCTATAGCCACGTCTCCCCCATCCTTAAAAAACCCTCATTTGATCCTTCCATCACTCCTAACTATGTCATATGTGTCTCCTGCCCCTTGTAGCTAAACTCCTTGAAAAGCCATCTACAATAGGTACTTCCACTTTCTCTCCTCTCACTTTCTTCTTAATTCCTTAAGTTCAGGCTTCCAACCTTATCATTCTACAGAAACTGCTCTTTCTAAAGTTAATAATGACCTCTTAGTTGCCAAATCCAATGTTCTATTCTCAACGTTCATCCTTCTTGACCTCTTTGCATCCTTGGACACTGCTGATCACTCTCTCCTCCCTGATGATCTCTTCTTTCTAGGTCTTAGGGACACCATTCTCTCCTTGTTCTCCTCCTACCTATCTTACCCTTCCTTCTCTGTCTCTTTTGCTGGATCATCTTCTAGACCATGACCTTTTTATTGTAGATGTCCCTCGGGGTTCTGTCCTGGGCCCTCTTCTCTTCTCCCTCTATATTACTTTGTTCAGTGATTTAATGATCATCTCTATGCTGATGATTCTCAAATCTACTTAGCTTGCCCCAAACCCTCTGTTGATCTCTTATCTTGCATCTCCAACTGCCTTTCAGGCATCTTGAACTGGATGTCCAGTAGACATTTTAAATTTGATGTCCAAAACAGAACTCATTATCCATCCCCCCAAACTCTCTCTCTCTGCTGTGTTCCCTATTACATATGTAAAAAGCAACACCATCCTCCTAATGAAGGCAGAGACACAATGCATACGAACCTGAATCTGTATAGCACATACATTCAGCAATTGTTTTCCAGCACACTTCACCATGCTGAGATACAATGCTGTGGATATCATGGCTTTCTTTGACTTCAAACCCAAGTCTGCAAACCATATCATATACTGGGGGAGACAGGCATGTAGTGATGGAGTCAGTTGTTAACATCTGGAATATAGGATACAATGGACTCTTGTTAACAGGAAGACAAAAAGAAAATAAATATAAAGTGATACAGTAATTAAAATATGTTGGCTTTAAAAAGACTAAAAAGGGAATATCTATTAAATGCTTTAAAAATTTAGATAAAATATAATTAAAATATTTCTAAAGATATTTTACCTAAGGTCTTAAAGTATTTTTATGGACCATAACAGAGCATTTCTCTCAATGCATCTTCTAAAAATGTCATTTCTTTTAAATAAAGCACAGTGAATTGTACAAGTGCTTAAAAATGTTGAACTGAATTCAGTATTCTTGAACTTCCATTTCCTCATCTATCTCCTGCACCTGCTTACAAGTTTTATTCTGAGCATTAGACATGGGACTCCATTTTAACATATTTTACTGGATGATTTTAAATGGTACTGATGAACCAAAAGAAGCAATAATAATAATTCACATTTATATGCACTTTATAAAACACTTTCCTAATAACAACCCTATGAGTAGGTAATGAAAATATTACCTACAGTTTTACACATAACTAAACAAAAGCTCAGAGATATTAAGTAACAGAAGTGGTACAACCGAGAATGAAATGACACTTTATATAATTAGTTCTTAAGACAAATATACATATATATAAATATACACACACATAGTTGGCAGCTTACTTTAACATAAACCATCATCTTTTTAAGATTAAAAGGGATTTTAAAGAACTATGTAAAGTGGTCACACAACCAGCCAATGTCATTCATTCATTCATTCAAGTGTTGAGTGCCAGGACACAAAAAATAGTCTTCTTGCAACACACCCTGAGTACTTTCCACTGCACCAAATGGGATTCTCTTCTCTGTAGGAAATATACAAAGTTTTCCTGTTTCCATTCCCAGACAATATCTTGCTTCTTCCTCCCAGATAAAAATCAATCTTCATTAAAACCAATAATCAATATTTCTAGGAAACAAGATGTGCTTCATCCTAGGGTTATTTGTACTTTAAAAAGGATCTCCTGGCAGAAAAGTCTTCAAGACTCACAGAATTAAACTGAAATAGCAGGTAGTAAGGTTGATGTTTAGGGGCAGAGAAGCATCAATTCAACTTATTAAGCACCTAAGGCATTGTGCTACTGCTGAGGATTCAGACAAAAAAGGGAACAATTCCTGATCCTTGCCTAATAGGGCAGACTCTGGGAATGGTAGACTTTGTAGTTGCTTTCCTGAGGAGTGAACTTCCAACACAGCCCTCCTGCTTGGGAAAGGAAGGAGGTACCCGAGGATCTGCCCCAAGCCTTTCCTATCTGTACATTTCAAAAAATAGGAGCTAAAACAGGAAACAAACTGAGGACGGCTGCCCTAACCCTCTCCCCTCCCCTCCTCCAACCCTTGGGACTTGCAGAGTACATTCCCAAAGTTAAGAAGCATTTATTAAAAAGAAAGGAGAAAAAAAGTCTGTGCCCTCAAGGAGCTCATGGTCTCATAGAAGAGGCGACATGCAAACAATTATGTACAAACAAGATATGTGCAGCATAAATTGGTGGTAACCTCAGGGGGAAGACGCTAGCAGTAAATATTTACCCCAGTGTGGTATACATAGATCACCTGCCTCGCCACCCCTAAATCCATAACATACGCACAATTGTAAAAATTTGCCGAAAATTTGTGAAAATTGTAACCGTGTGTGTAGATAATGTGTGTATATACACTAGTATATGCATACACGTATATATGTATGTGTGTGTTAATCTTACAAAGGGCAGTAAATTTTAGAAAATATATATATAACATACATGTATGTATGTATTTTAAAATTTGCTGCCTCTTGTAAGGTTAACACACATATATAATTGATACATATTACATAATATATATTTATATATACTGGTTACGTATAATATACACATGCATACACATGTGATGTATATATATAATACACATCTACACACGTGTGTATACTCACATATGCACACATAACATATTTATTTTAAACCTGTCTCCTCCACTACCATGAAAAATCCTAGCACAACGTCTGGCACATAATAAGCCCCTGATAAATGCTCTCTGGCTTCCTGCTTTAGGTTCCCAAGCAGGCCTAAACAAATCTCTTGGAGGGAAGAAACTCCACCATCTATTAGCTACTGTAGCCCCGACTTCAATTCAATCCAATACTGATTTAAAACCCTCCTGTATTAAAAGCTGCCCAGTTCCCTATAGGATGTCTCAAGAGTAAGGGGTTCGTGAAGGCGGTAAAAACCGCCGAGCTTTGACTGGTCTCTCAATTTACTGATCCCTCCTCTAGACTCCGAACCACTGCCTCTTAACTTGGGATCCACAAACGCTCCAAAGGGTCCGTGGGAGATTTCAGGGGATCCGAGAACAAAGTTGGAAAAAAAGTAATTACATCTTTATTTTCACTGACCTCTAACTGAAATCTAGCATTGCCTTCCATCATGCATTTTAAAACAACGTTATTTTGAAAAGGGTTTCACAGGCTTCACCAGGAGTCAGAGGGGTCCATGGCCCCAAAAAAGATGAGGAGCCCGTGCGGTGAATGCAGACTGGCCGACGCAAACACATGCTCCTCGGCTGATCAGATGGAGTTGCGGGGGTAGCGATCCTAGAAGGTGCCAAATTTGCTACGGCCAGGATTTCGAGGTGGTTTCTCAGAACCCGGCTGACCACGCCACTGGACAGAGGAGACCAACTACACCCAGCAGCGCTGTCCCCACGGGGCCTCTCGCGAGATCAGCCTATCGCGCAGCCCAGGGACGTCTCCTTCTTCCTCTTCTTTCCTCCAGCTCTTCCGGCTTCCGGCACGAATCCAGGCTGGCTGGCTGGCGCGATGGCGTCACTTCCGCACTATCGCCTTCCGGCGCCTCACGCCTCGGGAGCACGTGACCAGCCCCAGTTTTTTCACCTGGCGCGTGCCGGTACCCGGCGTCATTACGAGCCGGTTTCCTCCGGTACCTCCGAGGGAAGGTCTCGGGGCTCCGGCCAGAGAGCCGGCTCGGTCGGGATGGGTGGGAAGAGACGTTAGCTATAGAGCAGACCCGCCTGACCGCGGCTTAGGAGAAAGAGGAGGACGCGAAGCACCATGGAAAAACGAAACATCCCTCCCGCCGGTACCTCTGCCTCTGCCGGCCGAGGCATGAAGGCCCCGGCGATGCCGTCGCAGCAGCCCGGGGCCCCCATGCCCCCGGCGAAGAGAGAGCGGAGGCCCAGCATGTTTGAGAAGGAGGCAGTGAGTGTGATAGCAGTGACGGGGACCCTCCACCCCCCAGTGATAACGGGGGAGCATTAGGGGCCCCTACCCATCCACCCCCCACTGTCACAAACAAAACACAACAGAAACACAACATGAGCTCTTTCCCAAAGAGCTGGGGCTGGCCCAAGGCTTTGAGCATCACCCCAGACTTTTCAAGTTTGTGCTCTTCACTGACTTCCAGAGGATTGGACCAGATAAGTCTTTTAGCCTAATCCTTAGGTTTGGTGGCATCTCAGCTAAAGCATTCTCAGGGTCTTACTCCCCAGTGTTCCAGAAATCAAGAATCCCTAGTGTATTGGAGGGTAAAACACCTAGTTTGAAATCAGGAGAACTGAGTGTGAACCCACTCTTGACATGAGTGGCCTACAGGTCCAGAAGTGAGCCTTAGGTAACCTCACAGCCCTAGGGGAGTTATTTAACCCCTCTGTGGATAATTGAGGTATCCTCAACTATGAAAGGAGTGAATTGAATTAGATGACTTACATGGTTCCTTCCAGTTCTAAGTCCTTTTATCTACCTGTCCTACCCAGAAGCAGCCCATCCTACTTGTGGGAATCAAAGGACATTATGTAAAATGTTTTACTATAAAGTGCTATGTAAATGTTTCTTTTTATCCTGACTGATAACCTTAATTATTTGGCAGTCTCCCCCCCCCCCCCAATATATTTTCAGGAGATTTGCAATGCAACCTTGAAACCAAGTAAAGCAAATCAAATCTATCGTCTATGGGATAGCCATTCAGGTGCTTGAAGAGAGCTAATTCTACTTAATAAAATCCTTTTTTCTCCAGTCTTTAAACATCTCTCATTTACTCATAAGACACGTTTTTCAGTTCTCACCATTCTGGTCACCCTCTTCCAAATGTGCTGCAGTTTGTCAGGGCCGTTTTAAAAATGTGGTAGGCAAAACTAAACACAGTATTCCTGCTGTGATCTCTCATCAGTAGGTATTTTCCCCCATATAGGGTGAATTGAGATGTAGATGTGATAGGAAATGTAAATATCATTTAGTTACTCCCCCATTTGCAGATGAGAAAACTGAGTCCTAAACAGATTAAGAATTTCCCAAGGTCACACATAATAAGTAATAGAACCAGGATTCAAAACCAGGACCCTTGACTTTAAATCCAACACTAAACATAATAATTTAGCATTTAAGGTTGCCACATTGCACCATTCATTCATCAAGCATTAAATGCCTCCTGTAGGCAAAGACACTAGGGATATAAAAAAATATATACCCTGCCTTCAAGTAGCTTACATTTTTCTGGGTACAAAACATAGAAGTGGAGGTAAGGAAAGAGAGAATTCTCAGTACAAGGGACAGCTGGTACTAAAGGGGGCCTGGAGATGAAATGTTAACGTACAGAAAACAAGTATCCCTGGTTGGCTGAAATGTCCGGTGTGTGAAAGGAAATAATGTGAAATCAATCTTGAAAGATAGATTTGAGCCACAATGCAAAGGAAGTTAAATGTCATTTGGAGGTGTTTTTATTTTATCTTTTGAGCTATAGGGAGCCACTCAACCTTCTTGATCAGAGGAGTGATATGGGCAGGCTTAGGCTTTAAGAATATCAATTTGAGGGGCAGCTAGGTAGTACAGTGGATAGAGGGGCAGCTAGGTGGCGCAGTGGATAGAGAGGCACCTAGGTGGCGCAGTGGATAGAGCACCAGCCTTGAAGTCAGGAGGACCTGAGTTCAAATCCAGCCTCAGAGCAAACACTTGACACTTACTAGCTGTGTGACCCTGGGCAAGTCACTTAACCCCAATTGCCTAAAAAAATTAAAAAAAAATATCAAATTGTTGGGGCAGCTCAATGGCAAAGTGAATAGAGCACTGGCCCTGGATACAGGAAGACCTGAGTTCAAATGTAGCCTCAGACACTTGACACTAGCTGTGTGACCCCGAGCAAGTCACTTCACCCTATTGCCTTGCCAACAACAACAACAAAAAAAAGAATATCAATTTGTCTGCTGTATGGAGGATGGATTAGAGAAGAGGAAGACTAGAAGCAGGGAAACCTAGTAAGAGAACATTGCAGTAGTCTGGTGAAATGATGAAGGCATGAACTAAGGTGTTGGTGGTATAAGTAGAAAGAAATGACTACAAAAGATGTGGCTTTGTCTGACCCTCTGTGTCTAGATCTTGCTATGTCTTGCTCTACATCCCTGTGACACTTGTGTCTGTGATTGCCTGTGTCTCTGCATCTCTAATACGAAAGCAGCATGCTGTAGTGAAATCAGTTAACAAATATTTTTTAAGTGCTTACCATGTGCCATGCACTGTACCAAGCACTGGGTATACAAAAAAAGTAAAAAACATGGTCCTGTGTCTTCAAGGAGCTCACATTCTAATGGAACAGACAACTTCCAAACAGTTGTTCATACAAGATACATACAGTGTAAGAAGAAGGTAATATTAGAAGGAAAGTACTGGTTAGGGGCTAGGAGAGGAGACTGGGGAAGTCTCCTTTAGAAGGAGGGATTTGAACTGAGTCATGGAAGCCAGAAGAAGGTGGAGGTGAGAGGGTAGAACATTCTAGGTATGGAAGTGAAAAGGCAAGAATTGGAGTATCTTATGTGGGGAATAGCAAGAAGGCCTGTATTTCATTGGCTCATAGAGTATGTAGATGAGAGTAAAGTTTTAGCAAGGTAGGAAAAGGGTGAGGCTTCAAAAACCAATCAGAAGATTTTATATTTGATGCTGGAGATGATAGGTAGTCACTAAAGTTTATTGAGTAGGTGGGCAACATAGTTGTATTTACAGCTTAGGAAAATAATTTAGGCAGTCATATTTGGGGAAATCATTGAGTTGGATTTGGGAAAATCATATTGGAGTGAAGAAAGAAATCTGATTTAGGTAAATCAACCTTTTACAGGAGTCTAGAAGAGAGGTGTGAGACTTGACTTAGTTTCAGAATGTGGCAGGCCTGGAAAAGATTTAAGGTGCTTCGTTTTGTTAATCCTCCTCTTGTCTACAGGATAGTCCAAGCCATTTTCTCAGGTTTGACCTTCAATTCTCAGTCTAAATTTGAGACACTGTAGTATATGTGTGTATGACTGCTTACGTATATGTGTGTGCATGCATGTGCATATGTATTTATATATACATACATATATATGTACTCAAATATTTGTTAATGAAGGAATAAAAGAGTTCATTATTATTTAACCTAGTATAAAAATAAGCTTATAGGTGGGTATTAGTCACTCCTGCCCCCAACTGTCAGTCGGGGTACTTCCACTGCAAAAAAGTATTTAAAAGCAGAAACTCAACTAACAAACCCTGAGCCATACTAAAATATTTTTGGTTTTTGTTTTTTTTTTTTTTTAGTATGCACAAATCTTACGGGAAAGACTCAGACAATCTGTACATGATGTTCTGTATGTTGAACCTCCATTTGATGACTCAATTGCTGATATAGGTAAAGATCAATGGAAGACCATGGGAAAAGTAAAATATGCCAACACATATAGAATGGAGCCATACAGAAAATTCCAAGCTCATTCAGTACAAAGGAAAGTTCAACAGATACTAACGGTTAGAGCAATATATCTTTTTCTAAAATATTTGATAAGATAGATTTCTATAATAAGATGGGTTTTTTATGTTCTAATTATCTCTAAGAAGTTTAAAATGTATTACTGAATGTTACTGTAACTGCTATGACAAGTACAGTAGATGGTATTTTTATTACAATTTACCCTGTTAACCATGAGTTAATTATTACCTCTATGTTGCCAAGATAGGTCTAAAACTAATAGACAAGAGTGAGCAGGAAGCATGTTGAGTATATGAGGGAGAGTATGTATGCAACCCTTTACTCTGATATTTTGATTGACTCATCCATTATTTCATTGCTGTGTATAATTCCTCCATTTCTTATCATCCTGTTTGATTTTTCTCCCATGTTTTCTCCTAAACCTAATGTAGAAGATCAACCCAACCTATTGGAGACCTTCTTACTCTTTTTATAAAGTAACTCATCTGTTATTTCATTAGATCTTCACAATGGTGAGAAAGGCAGTTCAAATACTTTTCAAATTACTATTTTACAGGTGAAGAAAGTGAAGCTATAAGAGATCAGGTGATTTGCCAAAGCTAGTAGCGGTGGAGCTTGGACTTGAATCCAGGCTCTTGTCTTAGATCAACATCTTTTCTTACTCCACAATAGTGTATCTCAGGGATACAGAATCACAGAAATAGAAGGAGCCTCAGAGGTCATAATAACCAACTAGAATGTGAATTGGAATACCTTTTACACCATTCCTAAAATGTTCATCCAGACTCTACTTAAAGACCTCTGTAACCTCCCAGTACAGCTCATTTCACTTTTGGACAGCTGTAATCATTTGGAAGTTGTCTTTTCCTTTTTAATTAGTAGAAGTTGCCATCTGTGGTCAAGCAGAACAAGTCTGACTTTTATGCTGTATAGCATAACTTTAGATATTTGAAGATTCCTATAAATCCCTCCCTCCCACATCTCTCAACCCAATAACATTATGCAGAATAACATTTCTAGTTCTTTCAATTAATCTTCACTTGGCATGGCTTGGAATCACTTTACTGACATAGTCACCCTTCTATGGATGCACTCCAGCTTTGACATTGGCCTTCAATACATGTAGTGCCTGGAACTGAATATAATATGACACAAAGGGTCTGACCAGGGTGGGACTATAACTCCCTTTTTTGGATGTTATACTTCCATTGATTGCTGCCATGTTACTGTCTACTCATGTTATATTTGTAGTCCACCAAAATCCCCTGGCCTTTTTTCACATAAACTGTTCTTTAACCCTGCTTTTCATATTCTGTACTTACCTAATTGAATTTATTAACCTAAGTACAAGAGATTTATTTTTATTAAATTTTGTACTATTAGCTTTGGTGGGGGGGGGAATCTAGCCTTTTAAAATATTTGGGGAACCCAATTTTGTCATCCAATGTATTAGCTATATCTTCTAGTATTATGTCATCATAAAATTTGATAAACATACCAACTGAGGTTTCATCCAAGCCATAGATAAAAAAATAGGACCAAGGACAAGTTCCCTTGGGGCCCTCCACTGGAAATTTCTCTTAAAACTGACATTGAGATATTAATAATTATTCTTAGGGTCTGATCATTCATCCACTTCTGGATCCACTTAGTTATACTATCATCTAGCCCTGTTCTCTCCATCTTGCCTACAAGGATAGCTTGAGAGAATGTCAGATTCCATGTATTCTGTGTCTATTGCATTTCCCTGATCAAGTCAGTCATGACAGTCTAGTAGCATTGTCAAAAAAAATGTGAGGTTAGTCTGATGGGACCTGTTTTTTATAAAGCTGTGCTGACTCCTAGTGATCACTGTTTCCCTTTCTGAATGTTCACAAACTATGCCTTAAATAATACATTATATAATGATAGTTCCTAACAACCTCTCTGTCTCAATAATTGGAGAATGGTTAAACAAATTGTGGTTTATGAATCCAGCGGAATATTATGTCATAAGAAATGAAAAAATGAATACAAAGAAATACAGGAAGAATTATTCAAAATTATACTGAATAATAATAATAGTTTGTATTTATATAGCACTTTAACATTTATAAAGCACTTTACATACATTATCTCATTAGAGTCTTATAAAAACTACTTATGAGGCTTTACTTTAAGATGAGGAAGCTGAGGCTTAGAAAGTAAAATGACTTGCCTAGGATGACATAGCTATGAGTCAGAATTGGAAGCTGCTGCCATCTGAAGCACATAGTAGGAACTATATAAATGTTAACCATTATTATAATTATTGTTATTATCATCATCATAATTCTATTACATTCAAGTACCACAATTATTTAGCCACTTCCAAGTCAATAGGCATCTATTTTGTTTCCAATTCTTTGTTATCACAAAAAAATGCTGCTATAAATATTTCAGTGTATATAGGAACTTTATCAAAGGCCTCCTTGGAGTATAGGCCCAGTAATTAAATCTCTGGGTCAGAGTGTATGGACATTTTAGTCCCTTTATTTAAATAATTCCAGATTGCTTTCTAAAATGAGTATACCAATGCAAAGCTCCACCAAAAATGTACCATGGTACTTTTTCTCTTCTTTGCCAATTTGCAGAGTATGAAGTGAAACCTCAGGGTTATTTTGACTTGTCTTTCTCTCATGTTTAGTAATTTGGAACATTCTTTCATGATAATAGTTTGCAGTTCTTTTGAGAAATGTTTATATCCTTTGACAGGTTAACTATTGGGAAATGGCTTTTGGGGATAGGTGCTTCAGAATGTGTGTGTGTGTGTGTGTGTGTGTGTGTGTGTGTAAAACATATGTACATGTTAATCATTTATTGGTCTTTAATACCAAACCCTTGTCAAAGGAACTTGATAAAAGAATTTTTTTTCCCCATTTAACTGTTTCCTTTCTTATCCTAGGTGGATTAATTGTGTCTGTGCAGAGGCTTTTCAGTTTCATGTAATCAAATTTATCTGTTTTATCTTTTATAATTGCTTCTCTCCCTTGCATGGTTAAGAGTATATCTCCTAAACTATATGAACTCAATTACAAAATACTTTTCACACAAATCAAGTCAGATCTAAACAACTAGAAAAATATTATTGGGTAGGCCAAACCAGTATGATAAAAATGACAGCTCTACCTAAATTAATTTACTTATTCAGTGTTACACCAATAAAACTACCATAAAATTATTTTACAGAGCTAGAAGAACACATTTCCTACCCATAGCCATGAAAGATATATAATTAGCTTCTCTCCTAATTTTTCATACTATGATCTTTAATGTTAAGATCACATATCCACTTAGGATATATTGTGAAATATAATTTAAGTTGTTGGCTGAAAGCATAATTTTTGCCATTCCTATTTTCCCAGCAGTTTTTATCAGATACGGAGTTCTTTTCTAAGTAATTTATATTGTCTACTTTATTGAAAACTGGGCTGTTGAATTTCATTGTTTCTGATTCTTCTTTGTCTAGTCTGTTTCATTAATCTAGCTCTCTGTTCTTAAAATAATATTAAATTATTTTGATAACTGTTGCTTTATAGTAAATTTAAGGTTTGGAAGTGCCATTCTACCTTTATTCCCTACCTCTTTTGGTCATTTTCCTTGTTATGTTGTAAATCTTTTGCTTTTCCAAATGAATTTTGTTGTTATTTTATGAAGTTCTATAAAATATCCCTTTGATAATTTGATTGGTATAGCATTAAAACTGTAAATTAACTTTGGTAGTATTGAAATTTTTTTATTCCTTTAAGGAATAGTTTGTCATTGAATCTATATAAAAGTCTTTTGTTTGCTTTGTTATTTGGAATGGAATTTCACTTTCTGTTATTGCCTCTTAGAAATGAAGATTTTTTTTTTATCCTGCAACCTTTGCGGAAGTTACTGCCTTGATTAATATCATTTGCCAATTCCCTAGGATTTTACGAGTAAATGATCATATCGTCAGCAAATAGGGATAATTTTATCAACTCTCTAACTGTCCTTACACATTTAATTTCTTTCTCTTATTGTCATTATTTGCATTTCCAGAATTATATCACATAATAGTGAGGAGAGTGGGTATCTTTGCTTTCCTTCCATATTTACCAGAAAAGGTTCTATTGTATCCCCATTGCATATGTTACTTGCTTTTGGTATTAGTCAGTAAACATTTATCAAGTACCTACTATGTGCCAGGTACTGCACTAAGCACTAACCACACAGAAAAAACCAATCCCTGCCCTCAAGAAACTCACAGTCTAATAGAGGAGACAGCAAGCACACAACTCTGTATAAACAAGCTATCCACAGGATAAATAGGAAATAGTTAATAAAATTAAGAGGTAGTAGAAAAGGCTTCCAGTAGAAAATGGAATTTTAATTAGGACTTAAAGAAAGCCAGGAGGACCAAGAATCAGAGTGGAAGAGGGAAAACATTCCAGGCATGAGGGACAGCCTGATAGAATGTCTTGTTCATGAAACAGTCAAAGAGGCCATTGTCACTGGTTCAAAAGATACATGTCAGGGAATCAGATGACAGAAAACTGAAAAGGAAGGAGAGGGCTAGTTTATGAAAGGCTTTGAATGCCAAACAGAGCATTTTATTTGATTCTGGATAAAATAGGGAGTCACTGGAGTTTATTGAGTAGGGAGGTGACATGGTCGGACCTACTTTACTTAAAAAAAGCCCCTTCTATACCTATACTTTGTAGGGTTTTTACCACAAGTGAATATTAGGAAGACCTACATGACCTTACACAAAGTAGAGTAAGAAAAGCCAAGAAAATAGTCTGTGTAATAACTACAATAATGTCAATGGAAAGAACAGTCACACGCAAAATAATTGAAAATAAATGTTGAAAATCAGAAAAAAGCAATACTTAAAAGAAGAGCTTTGAGAAGACACCCCTTTGCAGAAGTGGGAGGTCACAAGTGTAAATTTACATACATATTTTCAGAATTTCTCAATGTACTGATCTCTTTTTGTCTTCTAAGAAAAAATAATTGTTTAATGACATGGCTCTTTGCATGGGGGAGGAGGGATATTGATGGGAAAAAATATGGTGATCTATGTAAAAAAGACATTAATAAAAACTTTTTTTAAGACTGCAAAGCATAGGAATAAACAGATGTTTCCCTAATCAATAAACTGAATCTGACACCAAAAGTTGGCACTATACATAATGAAGATAAACTAGAGATGTCTCTAATAAGGATGTAATCAGGATATTCTAATAGGATGAAATTCAAGCTATCAAAAACCATATACAAAAACACCCCAAATCACTAATGATAATTATGCAGATTAAAACAACTGAGGCTGTACCTCATGTCCATCAGTTTGGCAAAAATGACTAGAAAGAGAATGACAGTTATATTGAGAGCTATTTGGAAGACAGGCATATTAATGCACATTGGTGTATCTCTGGATTGATCCTGCCATTGTGCAAACCAATTTGGAACTATACACAAAGAGTCACTAAACTTTGCATGCTCTTTGACCCAGATATACAATTGCTAAGGTTATACCAAAAATAGTAAAAATGAAAAGGGAAATTGCCCATATGTACAAAAATATTTTTGTAACAAAGAACTAGACATAAAGGGGATGCGTACCAATTGGTAAATGGCTGAACAAACTATCGCATGTGTCTAGAATGGATTATTATTGCACCATAAGAAATAATGAAAGGGATTGTTTCAGAGAATCCTGGGAAGACTCATGATTTAGTTTAGAGTGAAGTGAGCAGAACCAGGAAACGGTAACAAATAATAAAGAAAAACAATATTGAAAGCTTAGCAACACAATGACCAGCCACAACTCCACAAGTTCTGTGATAAGAAATCTACCTACTTCCTGACAGAGATAAAGAATTAAAGACATTTTCAGACACAGACACTGAGGATTTATTATGCTTAACTATGCTTCTATGTAACTTATTTTTCCTCCTTTTTTAATTAGAGGAGGAGATTTAGGGGGGAGAGGTGTTAAGCTCAAAATAGAAGTTGGCAACTTTAGCCTGAGAGCTAAACCAGGCCTGAACAAATTAAGATATATTAATAATAATAAAATATTATTGTGCCATAAGAAATGAGGAAATGAATGGTTTCAGCAAAACTTGGGAAGACTTCTATGAATTCAAAGTGCAGTGAAAGAATCAGAACAATTTACATAGAACCAAGAAAACAATTTACACAATTCAACAATTTATTTATTTGTTAAGAAAAGCAAAATTTTAAAGACTTAAGAACTTTGTTGGCCATTACCAACAACAATTCCATGTAACTGATTAGGAAATGTACTACCCACCTCCTGAGAGAGATGTTCTACTCAAGGTAGAGAATTAGACATTTATTTTTAACATATCAAATGCACATGTTTATTTTGCTTTATTATGTTTATCTATTACTAAGATTATGTTGGGGGCTTTTTTTATTTTGGGGGGAGAGGAGCTAGCTATAGTATTCACAAAAAAAAAGGAGAAAAAAAAGAGACTTGATTATTTTTTTCAAAATGCACAGAAGAGAACTGAAGGAATTTTCGAAGAAAACAGACAAGCAATGCAACTTTGAAACTTGGTGCTTTGAAAATAAAATATTGCTGTCTAATAGAAAATGGTTTTGCTTGATTATACACATTCGTAATGGGTTTTGTTTTTCTTGCTTTCTCAATGAGTAGAGGAGGGGAAATAGGAGAGAACAAGAATTCAGAACTAAAAATATAATGGAATTTTAAAAAATAATACCAAATGAAAACATGATTAAGAACTTTGATATGTATGCCTGATTCAGGAATAGACTTTATATTTGAATTCAGCCCCATATAAAGATAAGCACAATAAAGTTCATTGGGCAGAGCCTAAAAATAAAACAATGAAAATACTAAGTTGAATACAGGTATAACAGTGGATAGAGTACTGTGTCTAGAGTCAGGATTGAGTGCAAATACAGCTTCAGACACTTACTAGCTGTATGGTCCTGGGCAAGTTACTTACTGCCTGTTTCCTTAGCTGTAAAATGGGGATCCTAATAGCACCAGCCTTACAGAGTGGTTGTGAGTATCAAATGAAATATTTGTAAAGCCCTTAAGACAGTACCTGGCACTTGTTGTTGTTGTTTGTCCTTCACTCTTGAAGATCAATAACATCGGGAAAGTGATGTCTTGACTTGCAAGTGAATTGGAATTAAGTGAGGCAAGGCTATGCAAAGTCACCATCTTCACTCTGTCCTCCAGAGCCATCTGGGTCTAGTGGCAAGACATAGATCAGGATGACTGGAAATGGCCCCTGATGCAGTGGAAGACCTTGGCCTTTTTAAGCTAAGGTCTTTCCCAGGTCTCAGTTTATCTTAAAGTAACACCCATACAGGGATTAAGGCTAAGTAAGAAATGAGGTAAAAGAGGGGAAAACCCTCGGGGTTTCTGGCCAGAACAGAAACAATTGGTATTTACACTTACTCTTCTCCATCAAAACCCAAACAGTAACCAACAGAGGCTTGGGCTGAGATTTCTTATTAGCCAGTCAATGAGAGGCAGAGTAAATTGGGTTGAAGGCATACTCAAGTAGCTTCATACCTGGCACATAGTAGATATATAGTAAATGCTTGTTCTCTTCCCTTTTTGTGTACTTTTTTAAAGTAAGCTATTTAAAATTATTTTTACATATAATCTGCTTTATGTTCTGCTCTTTATATGGGAATATCTTTTTTAATGTTAAATTCAGAATTTAAAAACATGATTTTTTTTAAAAGTGAATAAATTGTTTAATGACTTCCCCAATGGAATGAAAGTTTCTTGAGAATGGGCGTTGTTTCTTTCTGTATATTTGTGCCACTAGCATCTAGCACAGTATTTGGCACATAATAGGTACTTAATAAATGATTGATTAATAAATTAAATAGATCACGTTGACATAATATTGCACAAAGCACATTCTCATTCTTACTCTTCGAATTTACTGTTGATTTAAACTTTTCTGTACCCAGTTTATTGTCTTCTAATATTGATAACCATTCATGTTTTGTTTTTTAAAGATAAAGTTAATCTTATTTTTCAAGGTGATTGTGTTTGTGTGTGCCTCTTGGCCCTAATCTCTAAGCAAACACAAATGGGGGGAGGGCTTCGGAAAAATCAAAATCTTTTGCGACTTATTTCTTAATCCTTGAATATAGTTTCCAATGTGGTGAATTTTTCTCTTTGTTCTCACTTTCGGAGAGAAAGGCTAGCTACTGCCCCTTCAGAGTTCTAAAATACCACTGATATTGAGATTCCTCTTCTCTGTTTCTGTCAGCTCAAGCCTTCATTTCAAAAATGATACCCTCACAGTTACCCACTAGTGCCCAGCTGGGCACTAGTGGGTAACTGTTAGCATCAATTAGCATCAATTAGTTTTACATAGGGATGTAAAGACATATCAAAAACAAACACCCCCCCATATACATACTTCTGGGGTACACTCTCCCCTTTATTACCTTAGACTCTGGGAGAAAGTGGGCATAAACTTACTGCAGTGTCTACAAATCATTGGTCCTATCAAGTTTAAGTATAAATGTGGTATATCAATTGGATGAGCCCTTGTCTCAGATGTCACTGGGCTGGGTCGTCCTGAACATCGCTCCTTGCTTCTTAGGCTATCATCAGTGCTAAACCAGCTGCCTGCAAAATCCATCATGGACTTGACTTCTGGACCTGGCAGAACTCATAAATTATCACAGTCATCTCCAACCTCCTTCACCTAAAATGAAAGAATAGACATTGAGGCAAGAACTAGTATTTGCACGTCACATGTCAGTCTTGGTGGGGAAAGCCTAGGGCCTCTCTCCTTTTATAGAATTGTTTCTCACCAGAATTCTGACAGACTGGAAGAAGTGAAATCAAGAAAAGGATGAGCTAGATTAGCTAGTTCTGGCTGTGTACTTGCAGACAATTAAGAGGCTCCTATTCACAATGTGGTTAGCAGACCAGAACCAGTTAGAGAGTCTTAGCTATTCATGCTGCAAAGGCTATCCACAACTATTACTTGTTAAGATTCTCTAGAAGTAGGTTCTCTATCCTTTTCCACGCAGGGGATTGCACCAAAGGCACTCGAGTGCTTCTAAGGACTTGGCTCATTGTCTAGTCTTCCTTTACACTCACTATGCACTCTCAGTTTAATGCTGGCTAAGGGCCAGTCCCCTGTACACTAACGTTTTTTGTTTTTTTTTTATTTTCCCCTCTTGTGCCCATTTTTTCATTAAAGTTATCAAGTATTTAGGTATTAGTTGACTTGATTTGGAAGATCTTGTCAAATTCTTTGTAGTTTTTCTATTCCTTCAAACTCTGTAATTATGTTGGTCCTTAAGATGTAATTGTCTCCCTGGTGGTCTTTTTGCTTATCTTTATTATGAACAGTACCAGGCAAGGTGAAATGATAACACTTCACTATTCTGAACATATCAATGTGGATGTGACTCAGTTCAGCTTATTTGCCATTGGACAAAGTTCTCATGTTTGGAGTGCCAATAGTTACATTAATTTTTGTAGACAGTCTAAAAGTTGTATAGTTTTTAACATTCTCTCATCCCTTTTATGCAACCAGGCCACTATTAATGCTGAAGTGAAAGAAATACATAAACAAGATTGAGGAACATTTTGTGGGGTTTCGGGTTTTCTCCTATATTATGTATCACCAAGGGCAAAAAATTCATTACCTAATGGTTAACCTGATGATGTGCATGTCTATGTATAAGCTGGTTCTTGGGACAGTAAATTTAATATGTCATATGTCATTTGAAACCTTTTCAAATTTGGTAGAAACTGCCTTAGTTCTCATAGTATAGCCTCCAAGTAGCCAGGGTCATCTCTATGCCATTAGTGAAGGACTTTTAAAGGACAGCAGATAGATGTGTTTCCATTTTTTTGGTTTTAATTTGTCAAATTCTAATTTTTATGCTAAAAATTTCTAGATTGAAATTAAGGATTGCTTTTTTAAAATTCTTTTAATAGGACAGACTTAAGAATGTCAAGTACAGTGAAGAAACATTTTCTCTCTTGTCACTTGAACTGGCAGATCGTGTATTAGCAGCTGTCAAAGAATTTGCTTTCTCTCGATATAAATACATTGTAAAAATAATACTTATTCAAAAAACTGGTCAGTCAATAAAAGTAAGTATAGAAAAATTTTGTCTACTGACACTTATATACATCTTGTTCAGTCATTTCAGCCATGTATAACTCTTTGTGACCCTGTCTGGGGTTTTCTTGGCCGAGATACTAGAGTGGTTTGCCATTTCCTTCTCCAGCTCATTTTACAGATGAAGAAACTGAGGCGAACAGGGTAAAGTGATGTGCCCAGGGTCACAGAGCTAGTAAATATCTTGCTGACTCTCAGCCTGGTGCTCTGTGTACTGCACCACCTACCTGCCTAGTTTATACATCTATAACACATTAATTTTTATTTCTAATGATGATCATTGAGAGGCCACATGGCATAATAGATAAGAGATCTGGTCTTAGATTTGGTCAGGAAGACCAAAGTTCCAGGTCCTGCCTCTGAAACATACTATATGATCTGAATCAAATGACTTTAATCTCCTAGTGTCTCAGGCAGTTTTTTTAATTCGAAAAGTAATAGATGAGTGCCTGATCTGCTTCAGTAAAATGAGTTTCCACACTAAAATTCCCCATGGTGATTAAATCATGGTTAGGTTATTTTAAAGACACTAATCAGATATTACATAATTCTGAATCATCAAATGAAGATTAAATTATGTTTGGTATAATTGTATTTAGGGGTATGTGAGATCCAACTTGTACTGACTTACAAGAGCTGACTTAAATTTTCATTGTGAGCATTTACACCTTGGAAATAAGCAAACACTACAAATCAGAGTATAATTTGTCATTTTGTTGATTTCGAGACATAAAGTGATGGAGAAAATGTTAATAAAGCAGATTAAACTGAAGAATGTATTGCACATACATTTTTTCCCTAGAGAGCCAATTGTTACATACTTACCATCATATCAATGGTTTATTTAATGATTTTAAATGTATTTAATGCATTTCTTGAAAATTAGTAATCCATTTAGTTAACTCAGGCATCCCATTGTTAAATAAGGTTCATGATAATGCCAGATGTCATGTTTTCTATATCACTTAATATTTAACACATTTTTTATTGAGCACTTATTGTATGCAGCTTAGTGTGCAAGGCACCAAGGAAGAACCAAAGAAGCATTCTGTTCTCATAAAATTTACATTTTAATTGGAGAGATGTTATATGTGTATATGTATATATATATATATATTATAAATACATATGTATATATACACATAAACATGTACATACCTATATTTACACATACAATATTAACACTAGGCAGTACGTAATAATAAGTTACTCATGGACAAATGTGTGTTTCAGGAACTGAGTAGAAATAGTTCACTTTCACTTGGGATGGTCTTTAAGCTTTTTATGTCATAGAACCCTTTGGCAGTCTGTGAAGCCTATGGAGCCCTTCTCAGAATAGTGTTCTTAAATAATTGAAGTAACTATTAAATTTCAGCTAGAGGTTAGCAAAAATAAAGATGTGGTTTTTATTGCCATCCAAGTTCACAAATCCCCTGAAATCTCTCCATGGACCACAGGTTAAGAACCCCTCTTGGAGTTTTTTGTGTGTTTTAATGAAATGGGTAATACTGCAAAATGGACCTTGAGGGAAGATGAATTGGATTTGATTGGATGAAGAAGATTTAAGATAATACAGTACCCATTGGAGAAATAATAGGAATAAATATGTGGAAATAGGAAAGCACGGGAGGCAGTTTGGGAGGCAGTGAATAGACAGATTTGGTGGGAGCAGAGAGTTTTATGACTTATTAATAGGAAATAAGAGTTGCAAGTAAGAGCCAGTTTGTAGAGGTCCTTGACTATAAGGTATAAGAAATTTAATCATATCCTATGATGAATCATTTAAATGTTTTAAGCAACAGGGGTTTTTAGGAAGATTAACTTGGTACGCCAAATGATTTGAAGGTAGTGAGAACATTTAAGAGACATATTGTACCAAAGGCAGTATGGTCTAATGGATAGAGACTTCAATTCAGGAACCAGTCATTTATTTAGTACTGACTATGTGCTGGGCACTGGGAATACAAGGACAAAGTAAAACTCCTGCCCTCCATGAGCTTACATTCTATCAGGAGAGACAAACACAATTTTATATGCCTATATACATAAAAGAGGTAATTAAATGAGGAGAAGCACTATCAATAACTGGGACGATCTGGAAAGGCTTTATGTATAAGGAGATAATTCAGTGAAAACTAGAGATTTAAAGAGGCAGCAGGAGTGAGAAGAAAAATACATTCTAGGCATAGGGGATATCAGTTATGAAGGTTTGGAGGTAGGTGTCTGTCAGGAAGCATTTTTTCAGTGCTTACTCTCAGTCTGACATGGCAGGAAGTGATGGGAATACAAATTCAAGTAGAAAGATAATCCTTGCTCTCAAGGAGCTCACATTCCTAATGGAAATTGAAAAGAGTGGGTGGGGAGAGCCAAGGTGGATATTACAGAACATTTGCATTAATACAGAAAAATTGTTTTTTGTTCTAATGAAGTTTGTATCATCCTTCAAGCAGATTGAACTATGAGTTATAAATTATTTAATCTCATTTTTGTTAGTGTTTCTGCAGAATTGTTGGGATTATTTTAAAATGTTTAGCCATTCTTGTGTCTGTAGGAATGAATTACTTTTCCCATACTTGATTCTTATTTATTGTGTATTGAATATATTTTTACACATTCCCTATCCCATCCCGTCCTTTTCAGGGGAAGCCCTAGATATGAGCCATAAGCAAAATCATTCTCTGGTTCCTGAGGTGGAAGATGTAAGCCAGTAAGTGAAAACAGAAAGCCTCTTCTCATTAGAGGCCAGGCTCTTCCCAGGACTAAATCTGGTACAAACCACATTCTGGGTTCACAAGAGAAAAGGCTGAGTGCCCCAGCTTCTGTGGAACCATCCAAGTTCTTTATCACTATACCAGAAGCAGATTAAAAGGTCAGAACATAATCAGTGTAAGACTGACCAGGTGCTGCTATATGCATGAGTACTTATTTTTCTCCTGCCTCGGGACCACAGTAGTCAGAACCCTTCAGGCGCTAGTGAAGACTAATTCTATCTGTGAGAACTGATTTTTCCCACCAGAAAATTACCTTGTATTTGTTTTGTACTTAATGTTCTGTGTCCACGTTCTCTATGTAAAAAGTTGCTTGAAGACAGGGGCTGATTTTTATTTTTGTCTTTGTGTTTCCTTATAACCTAACATAATACCCAGTGCAGATAAGGTGCTTATTACTTATTACTGAATTTATTGGAGGACTGTAGGGGCTGGAAGCTCAGGGTTAGTCATTACCCCAAGTATTCAAGAAATCATAAATTTGATTGGCAATATGTTCAAAAGTAAAGAAAGAACAAATATGACCCTATAAATCATAGTAAATGGTAGTGAAATGATACTCTAAATTTCATAAAATAAAAGAATTGCATACATTGATTATATTGGGGATTATATGCACATGGAGTATACAGAGAATATAACTCTACTATCACCAATTTTACCCAAAAATCATATTTAAAATATACTTCAGCATTTTATAAGATCTGTGATTTAACCTGTATATATTCTCCTCCCCCCAAAGCACCTCAATAAATATTTATTGAATTGAAAATGTAAAATCTGAAATTGGTATTTGGTCTTTTCATTTCACAGATTTCTAGCAGATGGATCTGGGATGTTGCTTGGGACACCTGGCTAGAAGCTAAACATGAAGCCGAATCATATGTTGCATTGGCCCTAGTATATGCACTTTATTGTGAATAGCTTATCATATCTACTATTTTTATCACGTTTATTGATAAATAAATACATGAGATATGTATTGCTAATGTTTATTCAGCAATCTCTTTAATTGCTATGCAAATATTTTAGTGAGTTTTTTACAACTGAAATTCCTTAATTTTATCCTTAAAGTAAAAACACTCTTTACCTGTTTTCTACCTATTGAAATATAGTTATCTTTGTTGCAATGCACTCTCCTTCACCTTTGAATCAATTGTACCCTTTGTCCTACTATCATTTATTGCCTGTCTCTTCTCAGCTTTGGGTCACCTTCAGCATACTTCAACCTTCACTTCTGCTCACATGTTGCTCATTGCCATTGGGGAAAGCCACACAGTCATGCCTTCTTCATCTACTACAAATCCACACTTCTTTTTGTTCAGTCCTTTTTGCCATGTCCAACTCTTTGTGACCCTATTTGGGGTTTTCTTAGCAAAAATACTGGAGTGGCTTGCCATGTCATTGTACAGATGAGGAAATTGAGGCAGACAGGGTTAAGTGACTTGCCCAGGGTCACACAGCTAGTAAGTGTCTGAGATTGGATTTGAACACAGGTCTCCCTCACTCCAGGTCTGGCACTCTATCCACTGTGCCACCTAGCTGCCCCTTTAAAAAATAAAATTTGTTACGTAGGATGGCTTTCTGAGATGGGAGTGGGAGAGATAATGAAGGAAATCACTGTGCTGTTACAAAAGACATCAATAAAAACTCATTAAAAAAAAAAAAAAGGAAATCCTTCCAAGTATAATAGGGGAAGTAGTCAATAAGGAACCAGTCCTTAGAGCATGATTTGATCTTCCTGGTGTGGTATATCGAGGGTGCCCAGGTATTTTCTTCCTGGTTTCAATTCAACATGTGGATGTTTGATTAGCCTACTTCTAGCCATGAGTGACTAGGAGGTTTGTATTGTGGAGAAACATTGAGTCTTGTGGTTAGCTAAGGAGATGGAAGGACTGATGACTCATTAAGTACTGAGCCAGAACTGAAATGGAAAAGATAGCTTCCCTCTACCCTCAGACCCTCACAATTTTGTGATTTTTCTCTTCACTAGTGGCTTTCAAAGTAACAAGCGAGACTGCTATGAACTGTTGGGTGGGAGAGGAAACAAAAACATTAGGAAGCATGAGAATAAATAGATCTTTCTTTAATATAAGTAGTATCTATTTAAAAGAAGAGCAAACATTACCTATAAGGGTGATAAACTAGAGGCCTTTCTAGTATAATCAAATGTTATATGGCTGTAAAACAGAAATCACTTATCTCCAAAGAATTTTGTGGTGACATTGGTAATGAGAGAATGCTAAAAGGCCTAGAGAAAAGTTCCTCAATATATGAAAATATGGTAAACCTTGTATGGAGGCTTTATGAGAGGATATGGATAGCATTGTGCAAGAAGACAAAGGGTGAGTTGCAATCTATATTAGTCAAGGGAGCACCTGCGTTAATGAGATCACAAATCCAAAGAAGCATGGAAGTAAATATTATCTATTTCACTACGTTGCTGGGCAAATGAAATGAGATAACGTGTCTGTAAGAGAGTGGACCTTTTGGAAATGGACAGTTTTGATAGTGGAAAGGGGCAGAAACAAGGACAGCTGTGAGAAAGTTGTAAAAAACCAGTCCCTCAAAGAAAAGGCACTTTATTCAGGATAAATAGGATCCAAGTATAGTTTCCCAGCATCTGATTTCCATATGAACACCTTGAGCAATTAGAAGGCACTGGCTAGAAAACTCAATTTCTAGAACTGTATGGTAACTATCGAACAAATGTATGAGTGGCTTGAGTGGAGCAGCTAGTGGAGAAGAAACCCAAATTGTCAGTGAATTGTTGTATGTACAATTCCTAAGGAAGGCAAAGGACATGGAGGCCCCCAGTACAGATATATGAGGTGTGCCCCAGGGACATTATTCCTTGAAATAGTGGAACATGATTAATAATAACCAGATTGGGAAAACCCAGCCCTAAAAGAAGCTACTGTCATTAATGCATAAAGAAGATATTTTTTTGCCACTATTTGCAATGTGGTTCTATTTGGGTTTTCCAAATTGATGAGTTCCACTGAGTACTCCCTCACCCAACCTCCCTTTCTGACCATGTATTGGTGTAATAGCTCATTAAACTTTCTTATCCTACCTTGATTATATTTGTCTTCCTTTACCTTATAGACCACAAATAAGCTCCCTGAACATAAGAACTATGTCTTATTCAGCTCTGTAACCCTCTATAGTACCTACCACAATGCTTTACACAGAGTAGACACTGAAAGTTATTGGTTGAAGGAATGAATAATGAAGGGAAAATAGACTTGTTGAGAGAATCAGGGCAGTCTGTGGCTGTTAACCAAATAGAGCTATGTTCTGCTAATAAAAAAAATTTAAATCCCCACCTTCACCTCAATTAGCATCATACTAACAAAGGTAAGCAGCCTAGATGAACATGTGAAATACTTCAAACAACCACATACAGTAGTAAGCTGAAGACAAATCAGCCACGAGGGAAGTTTAAGAAACTTTGGACTAAGGGTCCTATCTAACCACTCTTCTGATATTTTCCTTACAACATTTTATGAATCAAGTAAATGCATCACACATTTGCATCCCCATACAGTCCTCTTACTTCAAGATAAATAAGGGCAGTAGAAATAGGCTGGTTGAAATTCTCATATACGGTTAAGCAAGATACATGAAAATAGAGGATTTATAAGCTTCATAATGTTTGCTTGATTTGTTAAAGTTGGTTAAACTTAGGGGATACTACTGTTTTTTCCAAAAATACATTTCTAGTCCTTCTTTTGTTGAAGGTTTGTAGTGAGGGCAAATAACTACTTATAGAAATTTCTAAAAGTGAAAAAATACTGCCCCCCTAAACATCGCCATTTCTCCCTATTTCCCAGTACCTGAATGATGCAAAACAAAATGAACAGAAATTTGGAAAGCAATATTCCCACATTCTCAGAGCTCTGGTGCTTTATTAGAATCATATAATTTATAGCTGGAAGGAACCTTAGAAAACATCTACTCTAGTTCTTTACTTTACAAAGATGGAGACCAAAACACTGAGAACAAAAATGATTTGCCCAAGGTAATATCAATAATAAATAGAAGAAACATGATTTGAATTCTGGAACAAACATTGTCCTCTTGACACAATGCCACAATGCCCACTTTCACATATGACGACATTGTATAATACTATAATTGCCTAACACTGTTTAAGGTCACCACAAAGGAAGGTATAGTGTTTTTTTCTAGCACTAGAGCAGTTACAACATTAAGACATTCACTGCAATTTTAAATGTGTTCCTTTTCATGATATCTACAATGCAGCATCTATAGATAATATAATTTTATATGATATATATACTACATTACATAATATAGATAATATAATTTTATATGATATAAATATGTATATAACAGTATTATGTAATAATGTATTACAATAAATTATTATTATCATCTTTGTTGGAGAGGAGTGGGAGATGACCTTTTGCATACTTGATATCCTCTTTGGATTACATTTTTCAGAAGTCTGTGCATGAACTTTGCAATTTACCACTTTGCATTACCTAGCACAGATTTTGATAAGAAAGAATTATAAAGAGGGGGCATCTAGGTGGTGCAGTGGATAGAGCACCAACCCTGGAGTCAGGAAGACCCGAGTTCAAATGCGGTCTCAGATCAGACACTTGACACTTAACTAGCTGTGTGACCCTGGGCAAGTCACTTAACTCCAATTGCCTCATCAAAAAAAGGATAAAAAAAGAGCTAACAATAGAAAGAATTATAAAGAGAAGACAGAGCCTCCCAGGTTGTTCTGGACAAGGCTTGAGTTATACCACCAGTCTGTCAGTAGTTTCGATTCAACTATGGCCCAAAATGACTTGTAAGTCATTCAACAGTTAAAAAAAAAAAGATTTTCTTTGTCGTAGCAGGAGAATGATATTCAACAAGGATAGGTCTTGAGGATAGACACCTCAAATTGATTAAGTTAAATAAAGCTCCCTTTTCTATATTAACTATCTCTATATACCAGCCAAACTTGTCTCTTATGGCTGCTTTGTACAGAAGTGACGAGGATGATGTCAACAGGCTGATCTTATTCCTCTAAGCCAATCAAGTCTTGAGAAATGTTTCAATATCGTTTAAGGAAAAACCAACTTCATCTGCATAAGGGACAGGTTAAAATACTGCTCCTACCACTAGTGAGCTTGAGGATAGCTTGAGGAAGATGGGTAGGTAATCAAGTCAAGAAGACAAGTCAATAAGCAATTATTATGTATCAGGCATTGTGCTAAGCTCTAGAGATACAAAGAAAGGCAAAAATAGTGCCTCCACTTCATTTCACATTTTAATGGGGGAGACAAGTAAACAATTATGTACATTCAAGATGTACATTCCCTGTAAAACACAGGGAAAGTGGTGGTAATATCAGAAGTAAGACACTTATTAAGGGGACGAGGAAAGACATCTTTTCAGAAAGTTAATTTGAGTTGAATCTTGAAGAAATCTAGGCAAGCCAGGAGACAGAGATTAGGATGGAGAGCATTCCAAGCATGGCGGACAGCTAATGAAAAGGTACAGAGTCATGAAAAAATGACAACCATGTCCTAGACACAAACCAGAGTAAATACTAGTTCAAGCCAAAGTCTGAACAGTTTAAGGAATCTTACACACAGTCTTCTGGGAGCCATAGTCCAAAAAGAACATAGATGGAGTAGGGCACATAGAAACAGTCTATCTCCATATGTGTCTGTACAATAACATATGCGATAATATCACATATGTACCTTTCCCATTTCCAACTTTAAATCTGGAGAAAATAATCAAATCAACATTACCATTACTGGAAAATAAATGTACGTTAATTGTCTTTGGTTATGCTCAACTTTCCTATGACTTTCCAGTCCAAAATACCTCTCCTTGTCCATTATTCCCTTACAAATATCTTCCCTTATTAGAATGTAATCTGTTTGAGGGCA